GCTCGTCTCTATTTATGATTTGTTGATTTTATCCTGTTTCTGGTCAGTGTTCAATTTTTATCCCTTGCAGGAAGGGGGTGCAATGTTGCTTGATGTGATGTATTCCAGGCTACTCTACAACAGCATTGATCATTCTAACTTAAATATGAAACAAACAAGTGAAGAAATACTGTTTCTGAAATATTAATCAACATGATTGATCATGACTGTCTTTTATATGAACAGCTATCCCGGCTGTCAAATCTCTGACACATTATCTCATGAAGGCAGCAATATGAAACGACCTGCTACTCCACTCTAGCTGTATCCCAGTGCACCTCAAACTCACTCATTCCTCTAATATATGTCTTTATTGGTAGCCTAATGAGGATTTATTGCCCATACAAGTGCAGCCAGTGAATTGTGTAGGTAGGAGTGCTCATACTGCTGAGTGAGACCTGAGTTGTAGCCCTGAGGTGAGAGAAGTTCATTTGAACAGCAGAGGAGAAAGGAAAGAAAAATATATACAGTCAGCGGGAGCTATAACTTCCTCTCCAATAAACTCAAATCTGAGAAAATAATTGTCATACTCTCAACTGCACTGGGTCGTATAAATTGGTGGAAATTGTTCCACCCACCTGACATCAAACAGCTCGGCTTGCTGCAGGAAAATTCCTGGCCCCTGTTTTAATTGGGCAGCTCGAGCAGAGCTGTGACACACCTGGAAATGATCTGATTCTGGTTGGTTTCCAGGTCAATACTGAGTCTGCAGTCCACCCTGATCTCTGATTAGAGAAGGGGTAGTCTGTGCACACCTTCTTCTCCTCACCCTGTAGGACAGATCAAAACAAGACAAAAAAAAAAAAACAGACATGGTGCAAGGGGGGTTTGATGGCTGCTGATCCCACTGACTGTAGACCTGATTAAGTCACAAATGCATATGAACTTTGTGTAGCTGAAGGGATGTACTGTTTTCATTCTGCAGATTAAAGTGTTACAAGAAGCCTCAACATTAAAGATGAATTGACATCTGTTGTAGTTTATTCAGAATAATCAGGGGGAGACTTATTATGACTCACTGTGTTACAACTCACTGAATTTGTCTGTGGCCATATGCATTATATCGAAGATACTTCAGGTGCCAACACACACATTTACCAACCTGAATAACAATAGTATGTTCAGGGAGATATGCCATGCTTTTAGTGAGTTGCTCTTCAGTTAGAAAAATTAAGACCCTGTGGAGTTACTGGTCCAAGTATGGACACATATGGGAACCAATTTATGTGTGCTCCCATTGTGTGTAGCTGCCATTCCTGATAGAAACTTGGTGTCTACTGTCGTCTTCATTGACAGCTATAGCAACGCTAATTGCTTTAAGCTTTAGATGCTTATTATCACTCATAAGGGTTGTTATAAAACCTCATAGATGCTTTTAAAAGGCTTTATAAATGTGCTAATAATGCATTATAAGAAATGGGTTCCTCTAAATTACTAACAAAACTTGGCCATCCTTCTCATATTCAAAGTGCTGGGTAATGGTATTTTTCCTGGCTAGTTGGCTCAATTAATTTGACCACCACTGACTTGTTTCACTAACAAATATAACGATTTTTAATCTCTCAGAAAACACATTTTTTAAGATTGTGCTCTCTCAGCTACGACAGAGCAGTACGGCCACATTAAAATCATTTCTTACGAGAATACAGTCGTAATAAAATCATTATTTACGAGAATAAAGTCGTAATAAAATCATTATTTGCAGGAATAAAGCCGCAAGTAAGTAAAGTCTTAAAGCTGCTTTTATGGAGGAGGACATGGCTGGAAGTGGTCAACTGCAGAGTTATCTGTGGGTGCATCAGTGGGCCATTCAGAGAGCTTTTGTGGTTTCTCAAGAAACAATCCAACTGATGATCAACATTTGCGATTCAGAGGGAGTCGAGCTCTGAGGAGCAGCGCGTCTGTCTCTGATGCCAGCACAACACTGGCAGCAACCTACACCTGCAGAGGCACCAACACCTTATGGCATATAGATTCATATGATAAACTAAAGCCATATGCTATTAGTATTGCTGCATTGAGGGATTTCGCCTCTGCACAGTCATTTCCATTTCCAGCCATTTCCCCCTCCTCAAAAACAGCGATTCCCTACAAGTCAGGCTTATTCTTTCTGTGGAAAAGATGTATTTCTTGCATATGTCCTGATACTTACGACAATGTGATGCTGAAATGCCAAAGGATTTAGTATCTCCTTCTTTGTGAACCCTAGTTACTGAAGTTCAATTCATCTAAATGCTCCACAGCACTCATTTAAACAACTAACAGGTTAGAATATTAGATATTAGCTACGACTTTTTTCTCGAAAGTAATGATTTTATTACGACTTTATTCTCGTAAGTAATGATTTTACCACGACTTTATTCTTGTAAGTTATTCCGAGGTCTAAAATTTTTTCTTTTCTTAATGTGGCCCTAATGCTCCGTCGCTACTCTTAAGTGATTATGTTTTTTTTTTCTTTTTTTTTTTTTTGATTAACTAGCTAAAAGAAGAACTAGATGAGCAAGATCATTTTGTTGATCACCTGCTAACACATAATAATTGAGCATTAAAATACTTACGTTACGTTACGTTATGGAGCGGCAGTAGCTCAGGAGGTTAAGCGGTTGTGCGATGACTGGAAGATTGGTGGTTCAATCCCCATCCTCACCCTATCCCCAGTCTGTCAGTTGTGTCCTTGGGCAAGACAATTAACCCACCTTGCTCCCAGTGTGTGTCCTCCACTGGTGTATGAATGTAGTTGTTGTATGGTGGTGGTTGGAGAGGCCATCAGGATGAATTGACAGCCACATCTCTGTCAGTCTGCCCCAGGGCAGCTGTGACTACTATGATAGTTTACCACCACCAGGGTGTGACTGTGTGAGTGAATAAATGATGTATTTAATGTAAAGTGCTTTGAGGGTCGCTGATAAAGCGCTGTTTGACATCTGATGTGTTATTATTATCATTATTCATTCCAGCAACATTAACTTCTTGAAAAGAACACTAACAGACAAGAACTTAACTTATACATTTATTACAGGATAGATAGTATCGGAACAAAAAAAGGGATCAATGATGATAAGATTATACTGATAAATAAATAAGACTGTGACTAATAATTATTATTTAAGTTCTTGATAATAACTGAATATAATGCAATGAATTTGAGGTTAATCCATTTTACGATTTTTTGAAATTTGAACACGAGACCCTCTTCGGAGCTTTTCATACCTAAGTGAGGCTGGTCTTTGGAGAGGGTCCTTGGAGCAGATTCACAGAGTGACCAGGATGGAGGTCAGAACAAGAACAAGAATATTAGTTTGGAAAGATTGAGATCATCATGTGTCCTGAGACCAGATAAGGAACCTTTTCTGTGGGGTGTGAGGTTCACCACAAGGCTGTTGTCACTACAGGAGGCACAAATGCTGCTGAATAAGCCTCAAACACCTGTCTCTTGACTGAGCATGCATTTGTCAGAAAAGTGGACCTGCTCTTTCAGGAATCTTTGCTGTGAGGCTGTTTTTCCAACTCTCATTGGCTTGTTGTTTTATGTTTCCTGCCAGAGCCTCAGAATAATTGTTATAATTAGTTCTGAGCAGAAGTCTCTCATGATTTTTCCTTTTTTTTTTTTTGCTTTTTGCACTTGTGAAATGTTATATATAAGTAGCGTGTAATTCTATATCATTAGAGGATTTTCTTCCTGACTGCCACCATTCTCATTGTTCAAGCAGTTGGTGGGTGGGACAGGGAGGTGTTGGCTCTCTCTCAGGCTGCTAATTTATGGCTCCAGCTGCTGTCTCCTTCTCTCCAGGTGGACATGTTGATTCGTCAGCAGTGCATCTCATTAGGGAGAGAAAAACACACTTCTAAAGGAGAGCAGACTCTGTGACAGGACAGCGCTCCATGGTGATTTGACTCCAGTGTTTCTTAGTGGGATAGGTGTGTAGACACAAATCAGCCATCTTGTTTGAAAAAAAACCCAGCATTAAATCCCATGACAGCAGCGTTTTTAATTAATGACCGCAGAATGACAGTTGCAAAATGAAGTGAAGACAGCTGAGTGTAAAGGAGAACTCATCGCTTTCACACTCTGAAGTCCATAAAACCAACAAAGAATACCATCCTCACTGTTAACAGTCGAACTATATGTGAGTTATTTCCTGACGCTATAAAATACTTGACTCTGATTGGTCAAAACCCAACAGTGTTTTATTTATTTATTGACAGCAAAGTGTGTAGGGACAACCTGATCCCACACATAGAATCAAATCACTCTGTGCATAGCAGTCTTGAGAAATGACCCTCTGCCTGTTGACACTGTGGCAAAAATGTTATAGTTAGCGTTAGACCAGTCAACAAGATAAAGGATATTTTTAATATGACTTAATTTATTTAGAAAGAAAAACACTTTAGGTTAATGGCTGAGCAAATGACAAAAAGGCAGAAGAAGAGAGCTGGATTGGTACCCCTTTGAGGCAAGACCTGCTCATATACAATAATATTAGGGTAATGGTTTCAAAGACAGGCACCTCAGATCTAGCTGCATTTACCACAATGTTTCCCTCCCTGTAAGAAAAGTGGGACAGATTGACACTTTCAGAGAAACATATATGTGACCTATGACTTGTAAGACTCACGTATTAAACTCAGATATTCATTAAATTTAGAAAGTCTCTCAAAAAGAATCACTCAAAAAAAAAAAAAAAAAAAGTGTGTAAATCTGTCCTGAGAAATAGCAAACAAAAAATATTTCTGCAAAGTGATTAGACTAATTTTCTTTGATATTAATCAAGCAGCAATGGTTTAGACTCTAAATTGTCTTGTTGTCGGTGATATAGAGGCATCATCATAATATGTTTCAGTCTGTTTCTGTTTTTCAAACCCCCTCTAGGAGCAGTATTTGCCAAAGTACACCTCTGAAGTTTACTGGTCAGATATTGTTCTATCTGTCATGTTTCATCCAAACACTGAAGGAAACCACATTCTGCCAAGTATTCAATATTTTATTCATCTTCAGTTAAGGCAATCCATTACAAAGCATTTCACAAACCACAGTATAACGACAATATCATGTCCAACACCTGGTTTGGAAATTTTTCAGCATGCAAGTCAAAGACCAAGAGGTATGTAAACAACCTGGGATAAAACGGGAGTAGTGGAGAGAAGAACCCATACAGTAAGTGTCTCATTGGAACAGAACAGAAAGAAAACCAGACATAAAACATGCTAGAAGTGGCTGTTTTTGTCAAATATCTCCAAATAACATCCCAAGTTACAAACGAAGCACATGGCTGGTTTACTCATCAGGTAAAGTGAAGGCAGACCTTCCTGCCATTTGGCACAAACATGCACATTGTTCAGAGGCCACGTTCAACATTTATTGAACATAGTCTGGCACAGAACATTCTCTATATGGGACTTATGTACATAATTAGAGTTCAGCCTCAAATCAAATTGAAATGAAAGAAAAACATAGAGCGATTTCCACAGAGACAAAAAGAAAAGGTCGTGTTGTTGGAAAGACATCATTAAAACTGAAAAATTTATTTCAGAATAATTTTATGTTTTACAATTGCATAAGAGTCAAAACTGTGCTCATTTTACTTTATTATTTATTTATAACTGAGGGGGGTAGATTTTGATTTCCCTATGGAGGAAATTTTACAGAAAAAAAAAAGAAAGTTTTGATCTCAGAGCCTGAGAAGCAATTTAATTGATTTGGATTAATTACATAAATATGTATGAAAAATAAACAAAACATATGGCTCCAGCTATACTTTACATTGTACTTTCTGCTCTTCACGCATTTTCAGTCACAATCAGTACATGAGCTGATGTTGACTTTACATGCTGGAAAAGTAAAGGACTTCTAAACTTAAAACTTAAATAAATAAATGTCAGTGAGTAATGTTTGACTTTCTATCACCTTAGAAATTAAAAAGTGAAGCAATACTTTTTATTGTACTTGTAAAGAAAATATATGACATATTGAAGATATTTATTTATATTATCTCTTTATATATATTTCATAAATGTCTCTACGGTATAGTCATTATTTCCTTTTGGTTTAAATGGCTTTTCTTCAGAGGTATTCTGGTATTTATGTGTCATATAAATAAATTTAGTGGCCCCATTTCACTTCTGGTGAACAAGTGGATTTGGCAGCAGATTAAAATGTGCTTTGTCTTCTGAGAGAGAAATGTCATCACTAATGAGAAATTGAACGGGAAAACAAAAAGCCAAATATGGATCTGGGCCTGTAACAGTGGGAGTTCACTGTCACTGCCCCTGGAGTGATTCTTCACCATCATCAGACCATCTTCTCTTCACAGCGTTAACCAGTAAACACTGAGTAGCTAACAGAGTTCATAAAACAACATGAATCATGTAAACACTTTGCTCTATAATTTAAATATAAGAAAAGATGAGGGTTTCACATTCTCAGGCAAATCTTTGTAAACGTTAGTCCTGCTGTGTCATTCAATGTAACACTTAAGGTATAAAATAAGTGACAAATGAACAAACATGTGATTAAATGAAATCCACAAATGTTTACTTTTTCCTTGAGGCAATGCAGATAGCCGCAGTTGAATTGTAAACAAGTCTTGACTTTGAATATTGTACAACAAGGCTCAGCAACATTGCTTACTTTCATTATTTCAAAGGTTAATAATGACGTATAAAAAGTAGACACTGGTAGAGACAGCAATCAGCCACTGCAGCTGTTAAAATCCTAGCCTTGCAACACTTTACTACTCAGCGTGTACATCTTTAATATGAGACCTGCTGCTGCTGCTGGCAGAGTAACACCTGGGTAACTGAATTTGGATATGTTTCCATATACTAGGCACATTTGGGTCGAGTGACACAAAGAGAGTGACTGACTAGCTTAAAATGAATGATGGCCTCTAACAAAGAGTTAAATGAAGATTTATACTCCTGGGCCAAAATGGCTGTAACTTTCTTTAAAAATGTGAACAAAGTGATTTAAAAAAAAACAAATTTAGATAACTGACTTTGAGTGAATCCAAAAATTAAAATTTGACCCTGGGTGTCAAAATGGCATCACAATATTTAAAAATTGGAGTGCTGTATATAGTTTTTTTTTTTCTGAAAACACACAAAGCTTGACATACTGAAACAGAGTAAACAAACTGAAATACATACAATGAAATGGAGTGGTAACTGTTTCAGTACTATACAGACAAAGGTTTCTCTTTATGTATATTTGTTAAAAGATTTGCAATTGCTTAGTTTTTATTTTGAAGGAACAGAGGAGAAAATGTTTAGGAGGAGAAGAAAGGAGGAGGGTATAGCTGACATCAGACTCTTTAAAGTTTATTTGAAAGGTCCTCTTTAGGTTCAGAGAAAAATTCCACACAACGAGCTGCTACCACATTGACTATAATGGAATAGAAACAAACTGCAGGATGACCAATGAGATATGGCAGCATGACGCTTATGCAGTACTGCTTACCTCTGCATAATAATAAGAAAAACAAGCATGTGCTTTGAATTATTCATCTATTTTTCTGTTAACATACAAATTTTAGGAATAATAATCTTTGAAATGAATACGGCAGTATTGTCTTTTTCTTCCTGCTCTCATATTGTATTATAATAAAGGAGATCAATGTTAAAGCCAAGCTGAGAACTTAATATACGGTCTTATTTATTATCTTAATTGTGGTAGCTGTTTGTTCTCTCAGACTAATGTTTTCAGCTTAGCTAGATTTAAACTTTTGTGCTTTCATTTGGAGAGTAATTAGTGCATTCTGTAGATATAAATATATAAGAAATACATATAAGACATGATGCTGGAAATTCGTATGGTAACAGCGTAGCGCAGGTCCTCTATGTAACAGCTTGCAATCTAAAAATCATCTATCACTGAAAATGACTTATGAACTGCTTATTAGGTTTTATCACATGCTTTTATATTACATTTCTTATCAAAGTAGAAATGGGAATTTTCTTATAACACTTGTCACAAAATATAAGAAGGTTAACTACAGGGAAAATATGACTTTAATCCCACCCTTAAAGAAATGAATAATTTCTTAAATTAATAAATAAGTGTCCTAGTTTAACAAACACTGATTCAAAAAGGTATCACAAACTTGATACACACTGGCACATTCTAATATATGTATGCCTCCAATCAGGCTCTCTCTACGGGTTCACTTGCTATCCATTACATCACCACTTTGACAGGTTTGACAGCAAACAACTAAAACCTCCTCTTACACCAGGCTCCTCTTATCTCTTTCATCCTCTAGCACTCAGAGAAAAAAACTCCCTGATCATCCACAGGTATGCCAAAGAATAGTCTTATTGCTCCAAAATAAAATGGAGTCTCATTATCTTTTTATTCAGCTGAATTATCATCCACGAACCCTATAGCTGTTTTCGGTTTCTCAAAGGATGTGGTCGTGGATGCAGGTTCCCATCAGTCTGTAGCCTGCCCAACTTCAATACAGAGCTGTGTGTGGGCTCAGACAGGGTTGGTCTGAGGAAGGTTGTCGACCGAGTAAGCTGGTGGGGCTGTGTTCGGTTTGATTGCTCTACTCTTCATGTATGAGATCAGCTGGTCAGGAATCTCAGCCAGCACGTCTTTTGCCAGCCGCGCCATGCTAAGCACATGGTTGCCTGTGCGGTCCATGTAGTCTCTAAATGGGACAAACTGTTGTGACAAAGAAAAGAAATGTATGACTTAATGTAAAGAAACAATCATGCGTCAATCAATAACTGGTAGCCCTGTTTACACCTGGGAGTAAGGAAGTGGATCAGACAATATGCAGACGACACTGTGATTTAAGCACCAGTCTTAATTTCACAACACAGGTTCTCCTGGTCACCATGGAAATCTGCTGTAGAGATAGACTGACTAGACATCCATCCAATCTGTTTTAGTTTTTAGCTCAATTTAGATGTTTAGTCATGATAGCTGCAGGTGTTGCAAGTTGGTCCAATGTCCTCTTGCCCAGCGATGTCTTCAACTCCTCATTGGGGATCTGGACATATTCACAGGCAAGGTAGGATGTATGTTATGTGTAGCTAGCTCTGGCTGCCCCTGGGGTCTTCTTCCAGTTGGATATGGCAGAAACACCATCAACTGGAGGTTCCAAGAAGCAGCTATTCAGATGCTTCAACTAATTCAACGGCTCTTTTCAAAGAAATGTAGGTGCTCTCCTCCAAAATCCCTTTAATGCATGTCTGATCTTTTGAGCCCATCTCTCAGGTCAAGTAAAGCCAGACTGAGGAGGACTCTGATATTAGTCATGTTGTCATTACCCAGAGGTATAGTTCATGGATTTAGGTGGAAGCCAGAATGATTGGTAAATCCAAATCTTCCCATTCAGTGTTTGGCTCATTCATCACTATGATGGTTTGACACCACATTTGCATTTAAATCTGTCAGTCTGCTCTGTTTGTCGATGCCACTGTTTATTTCTTACTCACACCTTAAGAAGATTCAGAGATACCTAAATATTTACTCTCCACCGAGAGGGAGCATCCACTGCTCTCCAGCAGAGGACAGTGGCCTCAGACTTGGAAGTGGAACTATGTAAGTCTTCTCCCCATAGTTCACAGTCAGCTGCTGGTTGCCTCTGTTAGTGGAGGTCACAGTTGGATGGAGCCAACTACATCAAATGTAACAACAGAGATGTAGTTCTGTCTGAAATAAACAGAATCACTGACAAGGTACCAAAGCCCCATGGAGACTTGATCGTCTTTGCACATAACACAGCTATTGCTTGTCTTATGGGGGACAGTGTGACTCGTAGCAGTATCCACAGTACCTACCCCATATTCCTGCAGGGTCCACTACAGGCTGTTCAGGGTATTTAATTATAGGCCTTCTTCAAGTCCACATAACCCATAAAAAATGGATGGGTAACCTCTTATGACCCACTCAGGCCTCTGCAATGGTAAAGAGATGGTTTCCAAAAGAGATGGTTTCCTGATTGGGCCAGGATGAACGCTGTCTTGTCCCTTGTGCTGCATATCTGGGGTTGCACAATTGAACCCCTTGGAATCAAATGAACGGGAGAAGAGTCAAACTAGAAACAGACCAGAACTCACCCTGGGGGCCCACTCTCAAAAAAGCATGGGGCTCAGGTGCAGATAAAGTCAAGGGCACTGAAATACTAAGCCTTGAACGCTTCAATGGACAATTGTTCCGGCATGTCTACTAAAGTTAGGCAAAATCCAAAAGTTTGACAACTTGTGTCGTATACAAAGTTTTTCTTATCATATTTCAGCAGGAAAGCTTTCCCCCTGATAGCACTATAGGAAGAGATGAGATCAACAATGGTGTTTTTTTTTCTGCATATGAATGAATCTCAAGACAACCAGATGTGTAGATTTTAGGATATCATTTTTGTGACTGAAAAACTATCACCAATCTGCACACACACTTACAAGGGTTAATTGTCCTTTTTACAGATGATACTGTTCAGGAAGCATTAAACATCAGGAATGTCTCACCTGTACAATATCCCTTTCTGCCAACTTCCCCCGTGAGGAAATCCTGATGTCGTCACCATCAAGCTCAACCATGGCTGAGGAGAAAAGATGTTTTATGACTTGTAGATGAATATGTCTTCAAAGATGTACAATGACCAACTACAATTAATCCAACAAATCCCTGATACAAACAGACAAAACTGAGTTCCCTGGTAAAACTCTGTTCTCACCATCAAATTCAGCTTGGCCAACTCCGACAATGATGATAGACATGGGGAGCTTAGCAGCCTGTCAAGAAGAACAAAGAGTGATCACACAGATGCTTGGAGGAGCACACATTGGATTTGCTGATCTAAAGCTTGACATCAGGGAATTTCACCAGGTTATACTTCCAGTTATTTGTATTTTACTCACTCTGCAAACTCAGTCTTATCTACAAGCATAGTCCTCAAGAGATGCTGGATTACTTAAACAATAACGGCTGAGATAAAATAATGTAAACACAAAGAATCACAACAGGTTCTTCAGTGTGTTTCTCCTCACATTATGTTGTATGGTTTGGGTCCTCCAGAGACTGAGAGACAATATGAAAACATTATTCAACCCAGGGGCCTAGGGGTTGTTCCAACAGCCAGCATATCACAGAAAACCTCAGCTCAATGCTGCACTGTGTCATTGTAAGTGGACTGGTTTCACAAAATGTGCAAAACCGAGTAAATAACGTTTTTAATTTTGAGTTTCACAAAAAAGAGCACAAAAAGCAAAAAGATAAAATTCAGCAACACATATCAAGCCAGAAACATGACCAATAAAATGCAATTAATATGCAATATGTAACTCGCTCATAACATTATTAATTCATGGAGTGTCATTTCACAATGAAATGTATCACTTATCATGACTACTTGACAAATTAAGACAGAGGCTGTATATTTAGGCTGTAAATCACCTCAGCTAATGCCTACTCCCTATAGCAGTCACAGCTGTTAAATATAACAATTCAAATAAATAAATCTTGTCACCAAATCTGGTCATAAAAAGGCATTAAAGCATAAATATCAGTCTATTTTATAACCATAAAAACTCCTCACAGTGGCTTTAATGAGGATTTAATAAGGCTTGTTTAACTGACTGCTGGTGTACAAGTTTGTCAATGTTATGAATCTTAACCCTGGTCTTGATGTAAAGAGCATAAAAGCTCTGGTATGAATGAATGATGTATGCTTGTGGTAAAAGTATATTCACAGGATAAAAGTAGGTCAGCTTTCCTTGAAAACCTCGGGTGTGTGCGTGTGTGGAGGGGGGGTGTTGGGGGTTGTCACAGATAGGAGCAAACGGACAGGAGAGAACCACCCTCTCCATGTTCTCCATCATTATTATGAGTCCATTTCTTTTTTCATGTCAATATTCCCTCCACCAGGCTCATTCTTCATGACCACACTATATACAGTATACACACACACACACACACACACACACACACACACACACACACACACACACGCAGACTGCTGCCCCCTTTCCAGCAGCAGAAGACCCCACATGCAAAGAACCTATAAATACCACATCAGATCTTGTATCCAGAACTGAATTATTCAGTCTACATCGTTTGTTACTTTGACAGTACCAAAAAGTCTTTCAGGGGATCTTGATATATCTATCTGCATGAACACACAGTGCCTTTTGTTATTGCATAGACCCATAATACATACACAAACAATAGAGGCAGATAATTGCTCTTATAATAACAGTTAATTGGTTTTTTATGAGCAAGCTTTTTTTGCCCCATTTGTCTCATTAACAGAGAAGGAAGGGGATTGGAACTAAATTAGCTACCACAATGTTTAGTTAATGAATCTTAATATTAGAATCTTTTTAATCTTAGAATTCTTAGTTCCCATTAGTAGACAGTTTGGTGGAAATTAAGGCATCTGTAGCTTTTTTAATATGATGTAATTCCATCACAAAGAGACAGGGAGGATGAGTTTGGTACAAGAGGGATTTATCCCAAATCCTTAAAGGATGCAAAGAAGATTTGGTAGACTTAATAAGTATGTATCCCTCATTCATGCTTTCTTCTGCAAATTTATTCTCCAGCTATTAACACTGCCATTAATAGTGGATTTGCCTAAATTATCCTCAGTCCACAGTATGGGCCTGGTAGCATCCTAGCTGGACAAAGCCTGTTTAGGTTGTCATTTGTGTACTTTTTCCTTTAATCTTATATAAAGTCAATTAGCAGTATGATTATTGAAGGAAAACACTTAATGGATGGCTGATGAGCTGTACCATATGGTTATGTAGAACAAAGCATCCAATGATGCTTTACTGTCAGTGTAGCTACACACAAGCTTGTATTTAGCCGATGAGTAGTTAGCCGTCCACTGCTTATTGTAATTGATTCAACGTTATTGTGTGATGGCACCCAAGGATCCTCTTGGTAAATTGATGAGGATCTGTTTATGACCTAAGTCAGACTGAAACTGGACCTTCATAGAATATATAAACAAATTAGTCTGCCTGAAATCGCACTAAAACAAACGTCTCATAGTTAGATTAACACACAAAGATGACATGGTTGTGGATCAATTTTCTCCTCTGTACAGCTTGATCGGACTGAAACTGACCAAAGTGCTCTTTCCCCTTCCTCTGGTGTTTGCAAGCTAGCCTTTGAGCCATAAGTTGAATAGTATAGACGTTTTGCAAGGAAGATGGGCATTACACAAAACCTCATCAGTTGAAGAAAGGATGTTAAAAAAGGACAAAACCTTACAATCACAAAAACAGTTCATAGCTGTAAAAGTGACAGTGTTTTATCATGCATCGTACATCCCATTAACCTTCGCTAGCATGTTACGATGACCCAACAAGCTGAAAGACAGCATGTAGCCATCCACCAGAGCAGACATATTCTGCTCTGATGTTTGTAAACTGGGACAAGGACAGTAGTACAGTTCAATCACCTAATTGAGTTATGAGTGTAGCTGGACTTAACTGTGCATGTAAATCTACTGTGTGTATTAATGTAACCAGAGATTAGTTGAGCAGGAACTCTGATTCCTTTGGGTCAATCTAAGTTTGGCTCTACAGCCAGAGTTTGTAATGACGGAGGTCAGAGGAGGTCGAAGGTGAGAAGAGTGAGAAAAATTAAAAGAGAGAGTTACAGCAGCTTTAAGACATACAGTTAATCTTATTTACTATCTTTAAAACTGTGGTCCCTAATTTAGACTTTGCTGAAAAGTATGACTATGATAATAAAGTATGAAGATACTGAAGAAAATACTTTAGTCAGTTAATAGGCACTCAAGCTTCTTGTTTTTTGTGTGTCTCATTAAAACTTAAAAAAAATCCATGGCTTTTATTCAGTGGCTGGGACCACCTCCAATCAACCAACTGAAACATCAGAGTAAAGCTAACACCTGGGGCATATAATTTCATTTATAGCTTTGCCTCCCAAGCCTTAGAGATAGACCCCTTTCATAATTTAATATCCTAAATTAAAATTTGGAGCTCAACATAAATACATCAAAGAAAGATGGGCCCGAAGGCTGTGCTGTTTATGAGTGGACATATTACTCTCCGGAGAGAGGCTGTCCTGATGCAGGAACAAGTAAAGCAGGATAAGTTTAATGTAAGTAACTTTACCAACAAATATATGAAGTTATTTACATTAAATGGCATAAATAAGAAACAACATGCACAATAAAATTTATGTTCTTTTTTACTGTTCTCTCTGACATATTTTTCCTGGGCAAGGGTTAAATGCACAGTGAGGAAGGTCCTTTAATCTGAGGTCAGATGAAAGAGCAGCAAGGTGATCAGCAGGACAGAGCAGGTTTGGGCTGAGTAGTGCAGAGCAGCAGACAAGATCTTAAAAGGAAGGTGTGGCTGTTCGAATGGTTTGATTAACAGTCGCAAATTCCCTTTAAACCCAGTCTGCTGGGGGTCAGAGCTCCGTGCTGCTGTGAGGTTCACCTTGGTGATGTGTGCTGCTGTTGAAGAGCGTGTCCCCAGTACACATTATGGCACAAGTGAATATGCAGAAAGCAGCTGAGGCAAAGGAAAGCACAAGGATTCGCCTAAAATCTGACAAAAGTGGTGCTGTTGGTAAGCTCTTACAAAGTGAACCCGTTGACCTGAATCTCAGCTGAGTCCCATAGCCTACTGGGGGACTCAGTAAAAAGGAGAAATACTGGACCAGCAGTGCACCCTAGTACACTGGGAAAACAAGTGGAGAAGAAAACATCACATAAATCCTCAAATCTAATGGCTCTAGTTTATGAAACCCCTGGTAGTCACAGAAGGACTGGTAGAAGTGTCACAGTTGACTTGTAATGGAAAACCCTGCAGAGCAAAGAGGAAGAGAAAGAGAGAGAGAGACAGAGGTGAAGAACCTCAGGGTAGTGTCAAAGCAACACTTACATTCACTATGGCTTCCTTGGTCTGAGCCATGTCTGATATGACGCCGTCAGTGATGATGAGCAGAACAAAGTACTGAGATCCATCCTGCACTGCTGCTGCATACCTGAAACAGAGGAATCATCAGCATCAACACCCACAAGTCAAAGTGTCAAAGTGGAGCAAAGAATCAAAAAGAAACACATTTACAAGCTACCAAAAAGTCAGAGAATGTTTTGAACAACCAGAGACTTGATTTAAGAGCAGTAGGGCAGAAGCTGTTTCGGAGGGAAAGAAAAACACGTTAAAAAACATGTTCTTGAGAAACAAAGTCCCCCTTTGACCAGCGAGTGACACAAAAGTTTTATATAGACATGTAAAGATGTGAAATCTGCTGTATAGCTCTTTGTGTCTCAGAGGTCTATCCATGCACTATTATGAAACCCATCAGAGACACCAGAGAGAGTGTGGCCTACTTTCAATTGCCCATCACTGGCTGCTCGATGAATAATTTATTAAACTGTTTATGCAAGTGCTGCAGTCTTATTCTTTCAGAGCATTATTGATCGCCTCACACTTGTCTGACCTGACTTGATGAGTGAGGAAGGAAAAAAAAAAAACAAGACAGATAATCGTGGGAGCCAAGGACAGGTCAGAGATCAGCCTTTAATCTCGGTTTCAGTTTGTTAAATTTGGCTGGAAGGGGTTGGAATAGTAATTAAAGAGCATGACCTGTCAGTGATAGAAGAGCAGAGATAGGTGTGTGGGGGAGGATATTCATCTTCCTCACCCACAAGACAACAATTGGCCACATAAGCAGAAAAATAACTATGTTAATATAATATTAATATAACAGAGCTAGCCGTACCTACAACTAAAATTCAAATGAAAGATGTAAATTTAGAACCAGCATAATATACATAACAATTCAATCCTATTCTTTGCATCTATTATACAGCATGTGCTCTGCATCAACACCTTTGAGCCAATTGAAATCATTGTTTACTCTCACTAATCTGCCTCCATTGCATGCAAAGCCTTCAGTAAATGTAAACAATGAAAAAGATTAGCATGTGTCTTATGTAGAGGTCTGTTTCCACTTATGTTAAGACTTAACATAATCTTTTTAACGTTGTTGAAATGAGTGGCCCAGTTCAGTCTTATTCTGAACACTCATGGTCTCCAACATCTTCGTGAATAATTTGCTGCACTTCAGTTTTACTGCACCCTTAGTTAAACTGCACCCTCTGGGTAAGTGCAACAGATTTTTTATAAATGAATTACACATTGCATTGAACCAGAACACTTAAAGCCGTAATATGACATGAGTCATTTTATTACTTGTAATTGTTATAAGATTTTATTTTTTGATAATTTTACTCCTTGAAATCATGTAACAGGTCTGAAGGGGACTGCTTACTGCCTTTTTCTCTGTTCTCTTTTTCCAGGTTATCCGTGGATTAAGCCAGTGAATAAGTAAAGAGTCATATATTTCCTCTTGTTTGGAGCAGAGGATCTTTTTTGTTGTAGTTTCAGCAGTAAAAGTCTCAAGACTCAAATAAAAAATCTTTTTTTTGTTTGTAACAAACACAAGTACCGACTTTGTTTTTTAATAGTCTTCAAATTAGAAAGAAAGTTATCCCCTGGTTACTTGTAAGACATGAGTCTCTAAGTGATCACTATTGTGCCTCTAATTAGAGGTACAATGTTTTTGTGAAGGACTGTCACTTCTTTCACGCACTCTGAGGATAGAGTTAGCAACATTAAATTTAACAGGTCTTGCAAAACTGGTCATTGATAAACATGTTTATATATCCATCTGCACACTTTCATCAGCAAAATGACGTGTTATAAACCATTTTTAGCTGGGCATGGAGAGTTTTTAATTCTTAGGTAAATGGCTCTGGGTTAAGTATTTCCTTATGGGGTTATTGTAAACTGGGGTCAATTATGCAGGAAATCCAATCTAAAGTTTTGAGTTTAACACCACAGTGTACAAGGGTGGCACCATGGGTGAGTCATTATTATTCAAGAACAAGCAAAGTCATGAATCATCATTACTGGGAACAAAGTCCCAGAATGAGTCTGTTGAGTCCTGTAACAATCCGCAGCTCGGGTTGAGGCAGTGTACACCTGCGTCTTATTATAATTTTACTGCTGTTTCAATCTTTCGGCAATCATTTACAACATGTCTTCTGTGTATTCTGTGTGTTATGCCCACAGTTGTAGCCCCTGGTAAAACCTTCTAATCCAGGCCCTTCTTCTATTTCGTCTTCTACAGAGATTTGGTTATCGTAAATAAAACATGTAATGCACAATTCATAATGAAGCTTATTAACTGAAAAACAGTGTGACTCTCCAACCTATAACTGAGACTATGACTTGAATCTTTCATTGACTTAGAACAACATTATATTAGGTAATGAAAACACAACTTATATCTGTAGTTATTCTCTAAATTAACCCAGACATTAATGTTTGAAATGAAATATTAATCAAGCTATGAAAAACAAGTGGAAAAACTGGAGGGTCATATATGAAAAGCTATGTGTGAGTGTTTATAGTGTTTGCATACACACAAATTCACCTACATAACAAATGGTTGTGTGACAGTAAACCATTTCTCACACAATATGTCTGATATAGGACCTGCACATGCATGACATATTTTACATTTATAATGTAAAAAAAGGAAGTCGCTAATTGTTTGTATTCATCTGATCTACCACATTGACAGAGAAACCATCACTCACTGTCTTGTACATCTCATGGTGATGTGTGTGACTGGGAAATGTAATTTACATAGAAACCCCCATTCATGAACTCAATGATGTGAAGACGGTGTGTGTTTTTACCTTGCCACGTGATTTACAACAGGAGCAAAGTTGGTGGGTCCATACAGCTGAACTGTCTTAAGGCTTTGATGGTACGCTTCGAGGATCCCCTCCATGCCGTTACAGTAGGGATTCTCAATGTTGCCATTCTGAGTAACACAAAAGAAAACATAAACTGAAAATAAAATCCAGAAAGTGAATTAACAGGGATGGAGAAATGACGCAATAGTCACACCAAAACATGTTGGAGTAAATGTAAGGGGCAAGCAGCCTTAAAATCTCTTCATCTCTGACCACCAAGCACTTATCATAGTAGTGGTCTGAAGTGTGCTATCATTATACCCACGAGCAACATCTCAGTGCATCAATACTCTGTCACCTCAAAGCAGCAAGGTAAAAAAGATCCCCATTAATCAGCAACAACAAAAAAATGTTCAAGATCTGGTATTTGTGTTCAATACTTTAACTTTCACACAGAGTGCACAGAAACAGATTTGTATGCAGCAGTCTGTGTCTCAAAATGGAAATCAACTCAGTCTTTTTTGCATTTGCAAAGATTTACTGAGCATAGAAAGTGGGAATTATAATTCTTAATAGTAAACTCTATGATCCTTCTATGTATGTAAGAGAGTATTTCATGCCTGAGGCTCACTAATTAGGGGAGAACTACCACCATGCGTTAAGCAGTTGTGGAAAAGTGATGGAAAGAAGGAATAGAGTTGTTATTTTATAGTGTCATCTAAGCAACATCAATTCATGACAATGTATACCTTCAGGATTTCTCAACGGGCAATTAAAAGACATTAAATGAAGAATGTGAATGAAGTGTATGAGAAGGCTAAAGCCTTTAAGCAAAGGAAAGCTGCCAGCATCTGTTAAAAATCAAATCAGGAGGGTTTTATTTGCATGCGTATCTAAGTTAACAGGTTGTCATGTTTCTGGAACAAATCTAACACCCACTTTCAGTTTCTCACCATGCAGGGTTTCAGCATTACAGCTAAATTAGAAGATCTGAAGACTGATCGCAATTCAAGTTAAGACAGACTAAGCACAGTACTCCGCTTCCAGACAGGATGACTGATTAGTAATAGTGTCATGCACTTTCCACATACAGTGCAGATAAGATATAGCAGGTGTGCTCTTGATAACAATAGACCACACCTGACAACAGCCAGCTGTGACCACAGACTGTAATCCAAGGAAGTTCATGCTGTGATGAATGAGGTACTTCTCTGTAATTCGTCTTTGAAGACTGAGTGACATTTTAGAAGTATGCCATCAAACAATACTTCAAAGATTAGTGCTGCTCTCTTCAAGAGAAATTAACAGAACATGAATGAGGAATATTTCAACCAACACTGTAGCTTTACCTTTAAACTCACATTTATGACCAAAGCGTGAAAGAATGAAGCCTCAATTACACCCTGAGATGAATCTTAATTTGCTAATTTCAGTGGAAACATGGAGTGATGCAGACGTTACTCGGTAGACAGACTCCTCATTAGGCTGCACTATGCGGCAGCCGGTGCACATTAGCTGGCAGAGAGAGACCAAATTGATTTAAGGATCCTTCAGCCTCACAGAAGCTGATTTGCACTATAAAAGGCAAACTGAATTCACTCTGAATTATGCATGCTGGAGGTGCAGCAGCAATCATCTCCAAATGTACACATTCATAATGGGCATGAACTTGTACATATCCATCCATGTTGCAGACAGCATAAACACACACTGAGCTCTGAGACCTAAAGATAAGCTCCACAGGGACGATCACAATCATGTTCACATGCAGTCAGATTGACTGACATGAAAAAAATGTTCCTCCTGAATAAAATCCAGAAAAATAATCTATAGCATACTTACGAGAGGAAACTCATGGGAGACCCTCCCATCAGGGGGTAGCTTGGCACCAAATCCCAGGGCAGGGAACATTTTATCACTGTCATAGTCCTGGATGATCTCTCCCACGGCCTTCAGGGCCATCGCATAGGCATTCATCTGGTACGGATTCATGTAGTGCAGTGAAGTGGACTGGGATGGATTTCCTTTCATGACAAGAGGAGACAGATTCAGTGATGCAAACCTCCTGACTGAAGGCAAAATGGCTTCAAAGGTGTAAACCAAGACTAAACTAGGTGTTCTGAATGATAGCTGGAGTGTATTGCTGTATAAGAAATTAATAACAAATACATTTCATTCAAAGGGAAAAGGTTAAGGAGAGGTATCAAAATATGTGAAATCTCAGAGGACTTTCAGTCTGCAGTCATCATGTATCATCTTCTGATGACACAATCTAATATGTGCCTCTAGTAGCAAATGCAAAGCGAATTTTGTTAATTCTACTGAAGTTAGAGATTAAGAAACTGTTTTTCCTGTGATTTGGTAACAATTATGAGGTAATATGTTGGTTGAAACATAACAATTTCATAATTTCATAATACACATTTGAAAAAGTAAAACGAAAAACTAAGTGGCATAACTTTTAGGTTAGTGGCTGAAAACTGCTGAAATGAGGGTTTTCACAGACACCAGTATATGATAACAAAAGGAGTGTTTTGAGCTGCAACCATGCAGAGATACTCAGACCTTGAGTCTGTCAATAAAGAATCTCTCTCTATGAATATATGGTTCCTAGATTCACATCATTATTCAGTTTGACTGGTCAAAATTACTTGGACTACAAGCAAACTACAGACAAAAACCAGAACACTCCTGATGATAAAATGCAGACCTGAGCACAGAATCTGTAAAAAGAGGCTAAAATTTGAATATAGTTCAAATATGGAAAAAGGGACTTAGGGAGAATGGTCATCTTTACATCAATAACCAATACTAAGCATTGATTTCATTTGTTATAATTCATTAATTACTGATTATTTGAACAAATTTGAACTCAACAAAATATGTTGAGTGACACACAAAGAAGAGTATCTCCTAATAGAACTTGCTAATGTACATATCACCACTGACAATTTCAGCAAAGCCTATAAATAGATATTCTACTTAAAGACAGATGGTGTGTGATTAGAGAGAGAGAACAGCAGCTAAATGCTGTATTTTGTTTGCTCTATGGTTTTTACAAGATGCTTTTATTGCCCTCTGTTAGATTTAATTGCATTTACTGTGCGTTTTCTTGAATATCCCTTTAAATAATATAAGTTGAGGTTGACTCTGTGGGAGAAGAATAGTTTAACAAGACAAGAGAAAGAATGTTACAAGCAAGCAGAAAACCCCAGCCCCATCTTTGATTCATGGAAAACGCCAGAGTCATACATTAGAGGACAAATGGAAGAGGGGCTGGGTGGTGGGAGGCAAAACTACTCACCATTTGATGCTGTGAAATCAATGGCCACTGTGAAGTGAATCTGAGTCCTGAAACAGATGAATGAGGGAGAGGATGTTGGTAACAAAACAGAGACAGGAAAGCTTGATGCTGCAGTTTAATGAGGCTCTCCCAGGTTCTGAGGAGAGGTGAGACAAAAAACTGAATATTGGACATAATTTGGTTTTATTATCAGTTTATTATCAATCCCTCTGCATTAAAACAAACACAGGGAATGCATTTCTGATGGTCAAGCAGCCTTTCCGTCCGTGTCTTCACAGATCTACTTGAAAATCCTTTATTTAAAGATTAAAAATGACTTCTTTCAAAAGCGCTTTATGAGAAGTGTTGCTGCAGCTTGTGTAATATCATGAGTAAAAGCTGTGAAAGATATTGTTTTTCCAAAGGCAATAACCCCAGTTCTTCACTTGCTATGAAATCTTTCTGGATTTATGTAAAAACTGGCATTTTCTATTCCCCCCATCAATGTGAAAAAGCAGCTTTTGCAATATTTCAAAAAATTACAGCAGATATTTTATTCATGAGCCCTTCATAGTAGCCAAAACCTTGAAAAGAAACTAAACGTGGCCTAACCAGTCTCTGCTGGATTTTTCCATTTCCCCCGAGAAACTAAGAGCATGGGGAAGGAGAGCCTCAGATCAAAGGGTATGCTCTTTCATTGTGATTAACACTGATTGCTTTCCCTGACTCTAGCTTCATTCAAAAATTCCCACAAGCCGAGCATCCAAGATAATGGCAGCTTCCTCCTGGGGAGACTCTGACCCCGGCTCATTAATCAGCATTGAGCCAGACCGCTCAGCTGACAAAGGGGAATTGTTACAATGGCATGCTGCCTCAATTTGGACGTCTCTGCTGATTTCTCTAGTTTTCACTGTTACGCTAGAAAAGTAAGATGGTGAGTTCAAGAGACGGCAGAGCACAGGACAAGAGAAACTGTCAGTCAAACCGCCAATTAAGTCAGATCATCAGAGCATCACTGGAAGCTTCATCTTCTGGCATTAGCTTAGCTTAGCTTAGGTCTGCAGTAAGAGGAACGAGTGTGGTCCAATGTTACATTTTCACCATTTAATGACAAAACCCTTTTACGAAACACTTTCAGTCAGAAAACGTTTTTAAATACAAAAAAGGCGCAAAGAATAAACACAGATTTCAGCTGTCAAAGATAAGATAGAAGCAGTCACTGTTTGAATATCTTGTAGTTTCATCCGTATTTAACTAGAATGTAGCAATCCTTCACTTGGTTTCACAATGGTCCAATTAAATCAAAGGACAGTCTAACCATCAACCCATGCTGTACATTGTCGTCATCAAAATTGTACTGTGGCAGACTTTGTGGTGTCAACCAATATCGTATCATTGTCCAAAGAATTAACATTATAAAGCATTGTGATGAAATATGAGATTTTTGACCCCTACTTAGCAACACCTCCAGATTTAGATTTGAATGTACTCGCCCTAAATACAGTTTTCTCAAACAGGTTTAATATTGGCATATCTGCAGAGAGAGATAATCTGAGTTCTGCAAAATCATTTAAAGTTAATTACGTTAAAAAGAGGACTGCCAGCTTTTTGGGTGCATGTCAGTAAGGATCAGTATATGAAGGTCAAACTTGTGGGCAGAACTGATTTCCACTACCTACAACATTTGTCCTCCTAGGAAGACATCAAGCATTTTTGGCCAAACTGACACAGCGACTGTTCTTAAGTCAGTGCCGGACCTGTGGTAGCTACTCTGCTAAGTGTTTTTCATAAAGATGAGCATGCTCAGAGTTCATGTTACAAGGCAAATGCATGAACACACACACACACACAAAGCTATGGGGTCAGTATTACTACATACATTTGTCTGTATTCAGCTCTCTCTCTCTCTCTCTCTCTCTCTCTCTCTCTCTCTATCTATCTATCTATCTATCTATCTATCTATCTATCTATCTATCTATCTATCTGTCTGTCTATCTGTCTATGTTTAAGTGCTGAGCTCCTTCTTGAGCTCACAAATTCTTTTGAGACTTTAAAATCAATACAGATTGCACTGACTGATGCTTCTGTATTGTTTGTTTTGCAGGTCCTTGGGCAAAGAACCAGCGGCAGGTTGCTGGTCTGAGGTGATTATCTTTTTCCTTGCAGTCCTCAAATATAGAAGTCCTTTGAACAGGTCTCTTTTCAGACATCTTTCACTTTCAAACGCCTTCTTGAATGATCTATTACTCTGTGAACAAATTAATAGACCTGCACCACTGCCTACATTTTAGCAGAGGTTCATCAATCTGACACCTGCCTCCAAGTGACCTCCTCCAACCTGATCCAACACAATTCCTTCACAACACACAGTCCAATAACTTTGTGTGGGTAATAACTGGCTCATCTCTCCTCTTTCTGTTTTCCTCAGCTCAAATAACAGCCTCACCACCGGTTTGCGTTTCACCTTGAATTACTGCAATAGTTTAAAATTGGCACGAACCGATCAGTGTCACATTGACTTCCCTCTCTCAGTTAGACAAACACCATATGGCAGGAGTCTTTGTAATGTGAAATCCCTGCAGTCTTGGCAATCTGGGCTGGATGGGATATTGTATGTAATGTAAAACGCTGTGGCAGAGAAAGCAGCTAAAGCGCACCTACAATCTCATCAGCATGTGCTGGAACAAGGCCAACAGAGAAGACATCAATGAACAGATTGGGACTTTCTTTGTTTAATGAAGTGCAGGAGGAAATACACAAGTGTGAAGAATTGGTGTTGGAAATGTGTGGGTTTGTGTGTGTATATGAGTCTGTGTATTTGTAAATTTATAAGTGTGTACATGTTTGTAAGTAGGATTTTTTTTTCTTTGCAGTAAAAAGATTTTTCTCTCATGAATGAAAATGGTTTTGAGACTTTTATAACAACAGTCTGCACAATATGCGTGTGAAATAGTTTCTGGTTTGTTATATTCCTATAAGGCACACTCCTTGAGGATTGTAAGCTCTTGAGAATATGAAGTGTTAGCCTACTTTATAACACAGACTAAACTGTATGTAGTCCTAAAACATAAACTATTTGAAAGGGGGACTTCTTTGAGTGTCTTCTGGTATTGATTTGAAGACTGCAAAAACCCCTTACAACCACCATCAAAAATCAGAACAGACTGTGTTGGGCCTGAGAGAAAAAACAGAGGAGGAAAAAGTCCAGCAGCCACTTGGTATCTGTTTGTCGAGCTCAGTTTCTCTAAACATATGGTGATGACTGACTAAGACTTAGATAAAGAATATCTCAGATCTTCTCTCGTCTGGCTTGGATAAAGATGAGTTGTTATAAGAGAAAATTTAGTACAAAAATTAAACTGAAATGTTAAATTGGCAGAAATTTATGAGGGATTTTGCACAGCCCTTGTATACTTGATATGCCAATAAAGCAGCAGTAAAGATGTTCTATCAGGGCATGCTGTGAAGACAATTTCGAGCTTAATAGTTTAAGAGTTTCCTTAAACACAATAAATACAACAGTTATAAAATAAATTAAACTCCATAGATTTAGATCCATAAACTCAGCGAGGTGCTTTTCCACAATAAAGTCATCATGAAGTGGAGTGAAGACGGAAAATCAAAGTAGCACAAAACATAGCAGTAAACCAGACAGAGGCTGACATATTCTACAAAAACTATCTCTTTCTTTAGGTTTTGCAAGTCTGACAACTTAAAACCCAATATGACTGCCGTTAAATCCAACCAAAGAGATCGATGTCTATAAAGAGGGAGAAATATCTTCAACAATCAGTGAATATCAACAGCCAGAGAGAGGAAAAGACAAAGGAAAAAGATCTGCTCCTGCACTGTAGTCTGACCGCTAAGACAAATACACACCAGCAGCAGCAGTTTCTCCCTTTTTCAGGACAACAGGATATTGTAGGATGAAACTATTAAACCTTAATAAGCTCTCCACACAATAGAGGCTCCACAGAAGCCGTTACACGGCTGATCTCTTTGCAGATTTAATTTAAAAAGGAAAAATTTAACATCTGAAGAAAAGAATATAAATCATTCGTTAGTCTCTCTCAAAGCAGTGTATGGCTCTTGGGCTTTAATTAGCTTATATTTGACCATATCTCTGCTTCAATTGAAAGTTAATGAAAATGTTATTAAATAGACCAACTCGCTGTGATGCTATAAAGGATGAGATGGTGTGTCTGTGGAAGAAAGTGCTTTCTTATCATGCATGTCAGAGAGTCATCTATATGCAATATGTTAGTTATCACCTGTCAGAACAGAAGCAGTAAAACAACAAATAGAAAAGAAGAGGAATCAATAGACAGGATCTAAAATATCCAATTCTGGTCTCAGACGCAGCTTGATTCATGATTGTATTCATCATCTTGTCTGTCAAGGCATGTCTGGCAAGCATTCAGCTTCAATTTTTCTTTAAATTTTCCAGCAGCTTTTTTGCATTTGAATGAGTTGAACATTACCCATCTATTCTCACTCATTTACAACCGTAGAGATGCCAAATCAAAATTAAGTCATCCACCAGAAAGACACTGGCAGTGCTCTGTGCCAGAATGCATAAAGTGCAGGTTGGAATTAGATAGAGGACATCAGTCTATTGAGATACACGTCTCTGAAAATCTTATTAGTGGATGGCGATAGAGTTACCTTATTACTCGGTCAGTGTTAATGGTGAGAGTAGAGGTATGTTAAAGACTGATTTTGAGACTGTTACCTGTGTCATTTTCAAGCTCTTCTCTTCATCAGAGCTCCGGTAGCTCATTAGCAATTCACCTCTGGGTCGTAGGCAGAGACAGCAATGCCTAAGCTTGTCGGTGTAGTAGAAGAATCAGGTAACATAGGAGCTATTCAGCTCTTACACACTAATGTCTTTGGGGGCATGATGAAGGTTAGTATCATAATTACCTTTCTTACGAGCATTGCAATCTGCTAACACACATCTGCGATCGTCCTCTCTATTTCTCTGAGTCTGACCTGCATAGCAGGGCTCCCAGGGCGGAGCTTGGATTTGCTACATAGAAAATCTCATTTAGTCTGAGCCTGCTGTTTTGGTCTGCCAGAGATTCACAGCGATTTGAATGCAGAAATACTCAGAAATGAAAATTCACACTTATGTCCTGATATGTCCTGTAGCATCAGCAAAATGCCATATGAGCATGTAGACAACAAGAAAAACATGATTTTCGTTGGAGTGGGTCTTTAAACATCTCAAGGTAACATTTGTTGCTAAGTGGTGCTGTATGAACTAAGATGATTGATTGATTGATTGATTGATTGATTGATTGATTGATTGATTGATTGATTGATTGATTGATTGATTGATTGATTGATTGATTGATTGATTGATTGACTGATTGATTGATTGATTGATTGATTGATGTCAAAATACAGCTATGCTGTGAATATGAGCTTCTTGTTTTCTCCAATGTAATCCAGCCAATCAAACAGGCCTCCCCTTTGTATTTCAAGGAAACATACATTTAATCCTAACTGGCCTATTCCCAGCACCCTATGTATGTTAGATAATCCCGGTGGGTGAAACCTTTGTTTTTAATGAGGTTTTTTCATCCTCAGTAGAAGGTTTATGGATAAGTAGTTGTGGTTCTCCTCATAATGTGGGTGTTTTTAATCCAACTGAGACCGAAACAGTTGGTTTGGGATAGAGCTATAAAACCTATCTGATCAATATTCAGCAGAAAATAGTCTTGAGTGATAAGACTTTAATGTAGCCTGAAGGTTTTTCCAGTTGAATTGACCAAGACAGCAGATACTTTTCCTGAACTCTCTTCGGTCTAACACTGTAAGTCTGTTGTTTCTTTTTTCATGGCTACAGTTAATCTCACCCATCATGGACAGGCAGCACACTCATTATTTTGTCCCTCCACTGCCAGCACTAGTAATCTTGTTTATTTTCTCCATCAGTCTGTCATGCAATCTGCTCCTTGCAGACAATCTGTTGAATGCAATATCTTCCATTTTGCTTTTGATTGAGGAGAATGGACATGGAATTCTATCTCTCCAGCTGCGTCATAAATCTCTAGCAGACATACCTTGAATAGGTCATGGAGATATATTGAATAGCACCAGTGCAGGAATAATATATTGGCCTTGTATATTTGAAACATAAAAATAGACGTCACTGTGGAGAAAAAGAGGCAGTACAACCATGATTCAGATACAATCTATATATTCTTCTATTATATAACTCAACACCTCAGCTAATATTGGTCTCAGGTCTCAGTATTGATTATGATTGGGGGTGATTTAAATCATTGAGCCCAGAGGGAAATCAATAAAACTGCAGTCCATGCAGAGGTTATGAGGACAGTATATTGTTTAGATTTCTTAACAGGATTTATAATTAAAAAGTAACAAGAAATAACTTTAGCTATACATTAATGCGCATCGAGCTAAGAGGTAGATATACTTTGATGAATTGTTCTTGTCAAGAATGTTTCTGTTTTAATGTAATTGTTTTATTTCTGTTTTGTCTCTAAATTGTTGTTTTTACAATGCAATCCAAGTCTCCAGTCAGGCTACATTTAGTCACCTTCACAACATTGTTCCTGAAACTTCATGTCAATTCATTCAGTTGAAACAGCTTCTCTGTAAAATTTAAGTCTGTAAAAGAGTCATGGCTCTTTTCTTAAAGATGACCAGGACAGTGAAACTGATTAACTGATCACTAGATGCAACATCAAACTCATCATGAACACAACCAGGCTCAACCAAAGATAGTCACAACTAGCAGAGAGGTAGTGATTTAGCATGCAGTTAATCAGAACAGAAACTAGAGGACAAACTACTGGGGTTTAGGGGCAGTAGAGACCAAAAGGTGCATGAATGAATCAAATACATTGTTATGTGATTTATTTTGTGGTCAGACATAACGACTTGAGCTGCTTTAAATGTTAGTGGAGTCAGTAACTTACTTAGAGAAAGTTAATATAGCCTTAAAAATGACATAAATGGAGAATGTATACGTCAATATATCCTTGCCCCAAGAAAAAATCCTGTTCTGTCTGCTGTTTGACCAAAGAGACAATTTTTCACAAAATCCAAGCTTCCTCCATTTAACTAAGGTAATTCTTATCTCTACAGGTTCTTGTGAGACACAAAGAAAATCATTGTTAAGAGCAGTTTTCACACAAAAACATCAAGGAGACATTAACAACACACGGCACAAAGACAGCAGCGAGTCTTTCATGATGATTTAAAAGGCCTGAGGGGGACAAAACCAGACCAGAGATAATGGAGCAATTTTTTGTTATTTATTTCATTTTTGGATTTATTTTTAAATTTCCATGATCCCTGAGTGATTGTTAAAGTGATAGTCTTTGTCATTAAGCCCTCTCTCAGGGACCACACTGAAACCATATAAAAGAACTGATGAGCTTTTAAGATCTTTAAATGACTGTAACAAAAAGATGAAGTACCACTCTAGATAATGCTTCACTCCCTGTGCTGGGTCACATTAATTTAAGTGATCGCCTTTTCTCTCATTCTGTCTCAAACAGTGTTACGTGTAGACTGGCACTATTTATTAAGCAGTGGTGAATTTAAAAGCCATTTTGAGCTTCACAGCAGTGGATTTATGAAAAATGAAATTCTGATCAGAGTTTGAGCACAAAATTCTGGTTAAATGCAACACTGACAAAAGGTTAAAGTCAGAGTCATGTGTGCAGCTTTTGACAGAGGCCATATCTTTATTTCCTCTCACTGCAGTCAAATGAAAACTCTCACAGAATTAGACCCTCATTTAGTTTATTAACATCCTATTTTTGGTTTCACCCACTTGATCAATACCTGAGTATAGTCTTTCCCAAGGGGAATCTTTATGGTCTACATTTGAACAGAAGGCTCACCTTCTGCTCATTAACCCAAGGAGTTTTATAATCTAATAACATTTTTAATTCAGGCAAAACAAAGCAGCTCGCCTATGAGAGTTATATGGGCTAGAAAGAGTTTGATCTTTATGAAATGCTTTTTTTCTGTTGCTCAATTTGTCAGTAGATAAAAAAGAAAAAGTTGTTTTTCCCCCCAGCACTCTGCAGCTCTGTTTTGAACTTTCTGCGAGAAAAATGTGGGCAGATGGTTTGACAATGAAATCTTCAATCAATGGTTAGTGTCATAAATTTCTCCTTGTAATTGGAAAATATGATTTTGCCATCTGACAATGAGCAATTTGCACTACTTGATAGAGTGATATTGTTATAATTTTTCTTCAGTACGTATCATCTGTTCCAGTATGTGAAGAAAAATCTGGTAAAGCAGTATTCTGTGGTCTTTAAACATTTGCAGACTTGCTGTCTTGTCTTTTTTCTCTCTTCTGAGGCAGATGAATTTCATACTTAATCTTTAAATTAAAAGTAGTCCATTGTCTCTCACCAGTATCTCTTTTCTCCTCTCTTTATAATAACTTAAACAATTACAGTAGCAGGAAGTGCATGTACCAGTACCAGGTCCCAGTGCTCCTAATTAGGTCACTATCAACTTGCAGTATAGTGTTTATCCGGTTCTTTTGAATATGAATGATGTTGATGAACACAAACAAACAAACAAATAAATTGGAGAAGCGTTGCCAGGCAACTGATGATGTGGTACGCTAGCAAACGAAAGAAGACGATTTGATACGATCTTGTAGAATCGAATGATAGTTGATAGAATAAGATTTTATATGATATGATTTGATCTGATACGGTGAGATATTTTATATAAGAAACACTTTAATGATCTGCAAAGAGAAATTCAATGTGGTATGATACGATAATATCACGATACCATATATGATATGATAGAATCAATACAATACATACAATTAAGATTCAATATGATATGATTTGATGCAGTTCTAACAATATGATATTACAATATGACATGATGAGATACAATTAGACTAGATTGAAAATAGCACATTATTTAAAAAGTATACATTTCAGTGCACCGCATACACTAAAATATATCCAACTTGCTTTTATGTACATAAACAGTTCCAGTCCCATAAAGAGCTTGTCTTTCATTCTTGTTTTCTTCTATTTTTTTCTTTCTTTGAATTAATTTTTTAAATACCTGTTAACGTCCTCTTAGGCTAAGTCTAAGTAGCTTTGTTCATGTCATTTGCACCACCTTGGGGAGAAGTGACAGTAAGTGAAACTGGCACTGAAAGTCTGTTCGGCGTCCGATTTTCTTGACAACTACCATATAGTGCTGCATCAATGTATTTTAGGACATGTAAAGGGAAAATAGAAGGTACATGGTGACCTTCTTCTTGTTTCTCCTCTGTCTCATCTCTCTGTCTTTCTTGACAGGATGGTGAACAATTACACCAGGAGCAAACAGGTTGTACAGTTAAGAACACCATCACCCGGAGTGCATGTAAGTGAGTGTGTATGTGTGGACACAATATGTGTGTCCATTTTTGTTAGCTGAAGAGAGAGAGCAGTAGGACAGATCTGGGACGCTCAGCCATCAGTGGTAAAGCAGCAGAGGAGTAAAACCAGGGCAGCCACTGATGCACTGAGAAACATTTCCATATGTGACAGGTTGGCCGCTTTTAATTAAGTTCTCAGATCTCCTCCATATTTTATCATACTTATTCATATTCATTCAATCTGCTGTTGTAGATACAGACACAATCTTTTCGCTCAGAACCAGATTTTCTTTCTCCTACTTGAAAAACATTTCAGGCTAGTCAGTAATAACAGTCAATACCCGTGAAAGGAAATGTGACTGGTTGCTTGGGCCGCAGAGGGCAGAGTCCAAAAAATTAATGTTTAAATCTCCTTTATTAAATCTCAGAGTGCTCATTCCCTACCTTATTACCATGTGTGAGTCAGAACAATGACACAGCAGCACTTTTTGCTGTAATAAGTTTTAGAAATCCAGTTAGATCCTGGCCGTCATTGTGCAAAAAAGTTAGTTTTGTCCCTCTTACTGCCATCACGTACATTCTTTTTACTGTCTTGCTATTCTACCTGAGCTGCTAGTAAAGCTTCTAGTGAATCCCAGAGGTATTCTTAAATTCAGCAACAGAATACATAACAGATAACTTGACCTTTATGCTTTTTTTTCCATACAGTTTTTATATGAGCCAGTTGTAGGGAGTAGAGGGGCAAGAATTTGTGATGACTCGCAGCAAAGCTCTTTAAAAGGCATCAGCAAGTAGGTTAACAACTCAGAGCGCTCCACAAATGTACACACAGCAAAATGAGGTTTGGAATGTGGTTCAGGTTCAAAGCAGCTCCATAAAGCTGCATTTCTTTTCCTTTTGGAGAAGAAAGAGAAGCAGCAATGTAAGCCTAACATAAAAGGCATGTTTTACCTTCTGGACTGTTTTTAGTTTTGTTGTGGTTGACTGGAGTTTATCCTCTTTAAACAGAAACATTCAGTTCAGTTAGGGAGAAAACATCTGTTATCAGCTGGTCTGTGTGGTGATAAATCTTATGCAAAATTCTTTGTTTACAACAAGAGGGTCATATGACTATAGGGCTGGTCAAATTATATCTCAGTGCATAACAAAAAAAAAAAAAACAATAAAACTGGGTTAAATTTCACAAAAGCCTTTCAGAAACTTTGGGCTTGTGTTGATTTTGTAAAGTGGTCCCTCCTTTCACTTAGCTGATATTTTTCTCACAAGTCTGAGTAGTGCTTTCTGATTTAAAAAATAAAAATGAAAAAAGCTTGTCTTGCCGTCTTTAAGCTGAAAAACATGTCACCCACTCTGATCTTCACTGTGAAAACTATCAAGAAAGGTTGTTTCTGCAGGGTACTGTAATGCGCTTTGTCTGACTCCTATTCTGTGGCAGAAACAGGCATTAAAAACAAAGATTTAAAAAGATCAGTCTTGTCTCTGATGGTCTTGTTTGCTTTTGTAGGCTGTGAAGATTAGCATCAATTTCAGTCTGTTTTATAACGAGCTAAAACCTCTTCAAAGGAGCTTCAAATACTGGTCTTTTGTGAATGATACAGAGGCTTCACAAAAGTGATAAATGGACGTTATAGGATTGTTATTATGATGATGGACAAGTGACATGAAAATGTTCATCCTACCTCTGACTACTTGATTTAAGCTTTTTTTTTGGTGGTTTTGATAGAGTATAAGTTGACAACAAGCTCTTCAACATAACTGAGTTCAATAACCACATGTTTCATGTAGAGTAAGCTAGAAGTTGTACAGCTAGCTAAGAGGATTGTCATTGTTTCGTCTATCTCAGGCTACTTTACAAACATGGCAAGGCAACATGGCAACTTGTGAGAGACAGACTAACCACTTCTCAGAAGAACAAACTTACCTCATAGAAAATGATGCACTTAAAGAAAAGCTTCAACAATACACAATTACTGAAACTCAGTGTGTCCTACTGAGTTGGGCACACTGATCTCTTTCGCTCGATTTTACTCCATTACATGAAAACCTTGCAGACTTGCATGATAACAACCCTTTCATGTCCAGCGTTAACAAATGACTCTACTCAGTGAAGCTCAACATTATGGTGTTGTTAGAAATCACATTTTCTGCAGGAGGAATGAATTCATCTGTTGTTTCATCTTTCTGCATCATTGCCGGTAGAAGCCAGCCATAAACAAACAGTGTGTTCATATTAAAAGCAATAACATAATTATTAAACAAACATCAAACTCACCCTCCTTTAATGTAATCCAGAAAGGTGTGCTCTGATTCCACGTTGAATGACAACAAGGACACCTGCAAGATAAAAAAGCAGGTTATCACACGGTTGTTAAATGATGAAAGCAGATGAAGCAATCTATGAATTAACACTGACCTCTGAGCGAACCACCCACTAAATGACTTCTCCATGCAGAGTGAGTCTGAGGACCGGCTGACATGTTTGTGTTACAATCACTGAGACAACATCAGCGTGGCTGTGCACTGATGGGTGATCAGTGAGATGGATAACTGGCTACAGATTTTAATTACAGAGTCAGGCCAAATAAAAGCAGCCAAAGTGTTCAGGCAATGACAAAGCTGTGCCTGACTGATAGACAGTAATCACTTTTATTCATGCATTAGACACATGGTGGATTAAATGTTTTTTTTTTAGTAAAATCTGCATGAATGACCCTGTCTTGTTGGTTTTTTATGACTTGTCTTGACTGCTTGCATGGGTATAAGAGCCATACACACCAAGAACTCTAACTATTGTATTAAGGGTTCACTCAGGACCACTTCTGCCAAAAACAAGCAGTAGGTACAGTATATAGCTCTCTATGTAGCTCTGCACTGAGAGCTCCCTGGCCATCCTTGTGCATACATGGAATGCAAAAGTCTGCAGCAGGGAGAGCACACCTCCTCTCTGTTTTAATGTGTATACATGAAAAGTTGAGGCAGGGAGAGCAGCAGCACAGACCACAGGAAAAAGAAAAGGCATGGGTAAAATCAGACATAGCATAAAGAGGAGGACCTGGAGTGGAAGTGGGATCTTAAATAGGTTTTAGGGCACCTATTTTGATGTTTGCCAATTAGATGCATAGAGGGTAATAATAAGTGAGCTGTAACTTAACTTTGCAGCCTGCCTGAACTAGCACCGCTCAGGTATTAGTATCTCTGAAGACATTTCGTCAGCAACAGAAAATACTAATCTATTCCAACACTATCTCTATGTTTCTCCTCGCTGGTGCTGATGGATGCACACCACAATGGCTGAACAGCACACACCGGCTGCTACTTAACATTTTCAAAAGCATGTTGATCAACTGTCAGTGTTTCTGAGAGTGTTTCTACGTCTAGCATAACTAGCTGAGTGGAAGGGACAGCTTGCAGTGACAACAATTGGCAGCCTTGATTTTCTGACCCAAGCCCAGCAAAATGTGCATGAATGTTTGGTGCACAGTTTGTGGGAGGGGCTTAAAGGGGGGTTACAAGGTAGCAGATGGAGAAGCTTTTTTTTTTTTTTTTTTTCTCCATCAGAACTTACATGATATGTTGCTAACCTCCACTTATAGAGAATACTTTGTAAATCTAGTTAAAAAGTTTCCTTGTCGTTTTAAAATATTCATAAAGAATACGTTGATTCATGTCATTGCCTCGTCTTTTACATCTGACATTGATTTTGTATTTCATAGTATCACAGCATTCATGTTGCTGCTACCTCTAATTGAAGCATATTCTATACATGACTTGTCATGTAGAGACCACAGGGAGATGAGTTGCATTTGAAGGCAACTACAGACAAGAGTGCCTTTGTGCGCTTCTATGGACTCGGTTATTGATCCCGGCTAAAGCCATGAGAATGTTTTCCAATCGACTCACTCACTGTCTGGGTCATAAGCCCTGAGACTGGGAATGAACACAAAAACATTTAACAGCGGCAAAGTGTCTCATGCAATCCACTTAGAAGAAACTTTCCGATGAATACAAAAGCACTGGAGGGCAGGAGTGTAAGTGCACGGAGAGGGTTTGCTCTTATCTCAAACCTCAGACTCACCGTCCCAGAGTTGATGTATCTCTTTTTCTTTATTTTCTTCTTGGCATTCACCACCTGGTATGAAGGCAGCATAGAAAAAGGGAAGATGATGATAATGTAAACTTGCTGCACAATTCTTTTCATCCACCCCTGGGCAAGTAATAAAACCATCTTTGTCCTCCTCCTCCATGTGTGTGAGGGTAATGGAGCATAGGGACTGAATCCAATAATGGTAGAAGGTGGGGATAAGATAGCATTGATCATGCCCTGCAGCATGATACAGATTATTCAGAGGGGTTTTTAAAAGCACGTACGCTGTGTGTGTGCTGTACATTTGAGACCCACATAATCAAGCCGGGGAATAGTGGAGCATCTATCTCTGTCTCAACTATTTAATCATTATATAGAAATAACCACACCTCAGCTAAAATACATCATGAGAGGAAGAATAAGCAGCAAATAAAGTTATGAATGACGGTAATACTCCCTACTTTAAACCCATGTAACATATAGAGCCTACAGCTAAAACATGCATGCAACAGCATCAAGGTCAGCTATCTTTAATGCTTATCCCACAGGTCTATACATAAACATAAAGTACAGGCCTGGAGGAAATATATATATACTCTTTTTTCTCCTCCTCCCTCCTGTGGGCTCTTTTTCTATGCTCTGCCTCTATGGTTACTCAAGCTACTCCTCAACTTCTCCAACGCAGGTGATGCCTTAAGCACGGGTCATCACTCAGTCACTGAAAGGTTCACTTTACTTCACATAGACTGGTCCCTGAATTGTTCATTTTCAACCTCTGTGCATGTCAGGCATCTGTACAAGGTAGTGCAGTGGTTTATTAAAACTGTTAAATTTATAAAACGTATTAAGGTGACATGAAACTGATTCAATGACACTGACCTGAAGAAACTGCTGTGTTTCATTCAGATCACAAAAGGTTGATGAAGGGTAATTGATGCACCTTCTTCTGCCATGTCAGCAGAGTAAAAGGCCAACTCTGCATGCCACTGTATCTCTCTCCACCTTTCCAAATCCTGCCACCATCCTCTCCCACTCATTTCTTATTGGCTCTGTTCTTTCCTTAAGCCACCTCCATAACTAATTCAGAAGCCAATGTAACATGCCAAGTGTTTTAATGAGCAGGAGTCAAGAGGAGCCTCCCAGATCCTTACAGTAATATCCAATCTGACCCCACAAGGACCATCCTAAAAAAAGCTCATCAGCAGCATACTTCTGCAGTCTTCTCATTTGTATTCTCCACACAGAAAGCACCCTCTGCTGCAACACTTCACCTCTCAGATAGCTTATGTTGTGTAGGTTTAGGAGAGACAGGGGAATCGAGCTGTTAAAAACAAGTAGCCACAACCCTGGCTCCAGAGGCAGCAGCCTACTATTACAATTTCGGATAACAAGACTTTGCAGAGCTGAAAGGCAAACCGATTTGCTCTAAAAAAAACTTTTAAAGTTTCAAACTTTGGTAACTACAAATGGAGTTTGGGTTTCTTTTTTTTCTTAGGAGACATATTAGTTTAGAAGATGTATCCTGTGTGCGTCACTTCACTTCAATCACTTATAGGTGATGTGTTCATCTCTTATCAAGTGGGCAGCAGTGCACAGAGGTATATCACCCTCATTGCATTGAGAACACACTTTACTCTGAAAATACTCAAAGGAGACCTGGGATGCATTTGGACACAATCTTTTGGCCGTCTGAACCCACATGTGTCTTGGGGCATACTGACCAAACACCTTTTGTTCGTATTCAAGGGAACAATTTTCTAGACGGCTGAGCTAAATAACCCTGGACAAATTGCCTCCAGTATTAATTCACCAAAGGACAGTGTATTTTATTTCCCACTACAGGACAATCCAGTACAAGGAGGAAGGTAAGTTAGAGACTGGACACATATTTAAGATGAAACATATGAGTAGTTCACCTTATAATGATGATGCAGCAGAGCGAGAGAATAAAAACTTTTTATTACTGTGAGGAGAAAATAAAATGTGAGCTTGTAGGGTCATTGGGTGCACTGTAGAATAAGATGAGCCTACATAGAAAGCTGGAAATCACATCTCCAGTGCAACGCAAGAAACGCTGTGATTCCTTACAACTTCTCTCTTCATCTGAAATATCCCAACAGGTATATTTACTCTGAGTTCATTTATTCACTCAACAACAAAGTGAACAAATGAGGCACTTAACCAACCGATCTTTGTTAACACCAATCCATACACATCCCTCTTTAAGGTAAGCCCAAAACAACTTCAGACTAAGCTGGCTGGGTGGGTGTAGAAGACTACTGTGGTGAATACAGAGCTGCTGCTTCCATCTGTGTGGGCTCTAGTAATGCTGGCTGCTAGTTTTCATTGACTCCGCCATCTATTCAGGGCCTTTTCATTGGATTTATGCTAAGTTGCTGCTGTTTCATTGCACCCTGAAAACTTCAAGCGTTTGCTAGTTTTTATTGTTTATAGTGAAAGTAAAGTTGATCTGACACAATGTGGGTCAACTTTTCCCATCTACTGGTTGAAGCATAGAGGCATATAAAGCAGAGGAGGGGGAATCGCCCTTTGAGAATTGCACTTTGGGTAGCACATAGCATCAAAAACATGGTACAAGCCACAGTGAAATGTTCAGGCACCCCCCTTTGTTCGCACTGGACACTTGATGAAGTAATATCACCCCACCCACTCACAAGCAGTGACCTTTCTAAACTGTCTCCTGCTGTGTTCTCACATCAGCTCACTCTGACTACTTGGCGAAATCTTACAAGATGGTTGGCGAGGAAAATACCACATTGTTTCACACGTGCAGCCAGGACTCAAAATTCCTGTTCATGTTTCAGAGTTTTGAACACTTGCAGACACACCTTACAATTATTATTATTATTTTTTAAGGCTAAAAAAGATTCATGAGGCTGTGTGTTAATTTGTGTTTGAAGCGGGAAAGTGATATCTGACCATAAGTGGTCACGCAGTATGACATGTCTATGTGGTTTTGGCTGTACTTAGATTTTAACTTTAATTTGATCTGAAAGTACTTAAAGGAGATAAAAGAGGAACTGAAGACATAAGTACATGTTTTAGAAAAACTACTCTTCAGATAAAATACTGACAAAAATTCTTAATCTAGTTTAAAGTTTCAAACACACTTCAGCTATTAGACAAACTAAAAAACTGTGAATCTTTTATTTTATTTCATTTTTTTATAAATGGTCCCACGCTCCCGGAAACGAAACAGAAAGACTGATAACAGGATAGAAGGTTTTTATCTCCACTAACCTCATGGATGTTCAGCTGGTTCTGACCTCGACACAGCTCTTTGTAGCTGGTGGTGAATTCTCCAATGAAATCGTGGCTGAAGAAAAGAGACAAAAATTGCATCATCCACTTCGTATTCAGCTATGGTGGGCGCGACCCTGAGAGGTGGGAGATGAAAGCAGCTGGAGGAATTAAACCATAGCGACAAGAGCACAGATGGAGTCTTATGATGAAGTTGATGGAAAATGTGTTGATGAAATTGTAAATAATGAAGAAATTAAAAAAAAAGAAAAGGAAACTAGACATTAATAATGGATGCAGGAAAACTGTCTGTGGGTGTGTCCTTTACCTTCCGTCTCTGTCCCAGTCGTACACCTCCACTTTGATTGTCCTATAAAATACAAGATAGAACTAATGTTTGTTTATGTGACACCTTCATGCATTTACCAAGAGCTGAGGGAAAAAAAAGCAAAGTTAAAACAAGCTATTAATGTTTTTTTTTCTTCTTAATGGAGGCTAAATTAAATCAGTCAGAGCCTGCTTTCTTTTTGGATGTAACTTTAAAAAAACAACTTTGAGGATCAAATAAATGAATGAGGCTTGACTCTGCTGAGCACTGAGACTAGATTTTTCTTTTATTTAACACATTGAAACCAACAGAAACCCATCAAGGACTTTAATGAACTGTTCAGTGGTAAGTTAGTGTTTCATACAGGAGAGAAAGCAGGTTTATAGGTTCGACAAAAGTTGGGGGAAAACATTCTCCACACAAGCCAAAGATAGAAACCAACCACCCTTGAGGGAACGTATTTTGTAAGCTCCAGAAATAAGCTCGAAGGCGAGAAACCAAATAAACACGCCTGAGAGAATTCACTGTGGAAGAGCAAAGTGCTTTGTCTTTTCTTCTTGATCTGATTGAAAGATCAGTGGCTTCCCCCCCGCCAACAGCCGTCAGTCATGTGTCAGAGGGTCCAGGAGGAGGCGAGGTGATGGAGGGATCCTGCGCTATCCTGACCTGAACTCATTCTGTCTGCATTGGATGTATTTCCCCCCTCCTAAAAAAAAAAACATCTGTGTAGTACAGAGATAGATCAAGTGAGAAGTGCACTTTGAATGCCCCAAAACCAGTGGTGTTCTCGCCTTACTGAAAAAACAAACAACACGGTTAAATATTCAGATGCTTGGTGTAGGAGTGAGAGAACGTACAAATCTTCCCAGTACCCTTAAAGGCCAGAAATATAAAAACAAATATGTTTTGAATCTGAGGGCCAGTGTGGCGTTGACTCCCCGGTGTCAGTCAACATCAATTTTCTCTGATGTCATTTTCTCACAACTAGAGTTCAGAGTCATGAACACGGAGACACGCCGAATCCCCAGGTGAACACCGAGAGAATTAGATCCCAGCACAATTTTGACTCGCCTCCTGCACACACTGCATGTTAGATTGAAACAGGAGATATCACTTTCTGATCTCTGTTAAAGCCAGATGATTACAAGAGCTTTAACTGTCCTACATGAGGCTGAAAGACATGCCTGAGGATTGAAAGTAAACATGATTGTTAGATATAGCTGTACCACATGAACACAAAGTGAACACAAACAATAAAACTGAGATTTCCGAGTTGGGCTGACAGCCATCCTTGGACTTTGTCCCTCATTTTCCACCTGGACATTTGGACCTCGATCCTCATCCTCTGACGGACTTGGCTGATTAGACTTTTAGAATATACCTTATATTTGTCAGGGACTATCTAGCAAATATTTTGGGATACACTGACAAAGTAAATCCATGTCCTAAACTGGTCTTGCTTATTTTATATTGGCTGTTGTACATTTTCTCAATTCATTTAAGCTTTCATTACACCACTGAGCACAAGTTTGGTCGTACAAATTCATTAAACAACCTTAAATTTAACCTTTTTTTCCACATAAAGTTGTTTATGTTTTTAAACAGCAATCCATCCAAAGCTTTTTCTGACCTGTTTTACTATCAGACTTAGTAAGTACCAAATGTCAGCACTTATTTAATTTTAAAAATAAATAAAAATATCTTTAAACACTAATACAGTTTGTATAAATTATTAGAGAAAGCATTTAAAGTCCCACTCCGACCTTTTTTTTACTATTTAAAGTGTTCTCAGTGGTCTTTAAATTGTGATTATAAAGATTTCAGCCAAAATCCCATTACCTGTGTCATTTTCAAGGGCTTTTTTTCTGCAGAGCTCCAGTAGCTCATTAGCAATTCGCCTTTGAGTCGTGGGCGGAGACAGCGCTGCTCTGCACTCTCCTCATCACGCTAACTTGTGGCCTAACATTGCCGGTGTAGTAGCAGTGGCAGTTAACATAGGAGCTATTCAGCTCTAAAACACAAATGTCTTTGAGAAAATGATAAAAGTTAATATCATAATCAGCTTTCTTACGAGCGTTGCAATCCGCTAATGCACACGCTAGTTCTGCTATCACCCTCTGTATTTCTCCGAGGCTGGTCTGCATAGCGGGGCTCTGGGGGCGGAGCTTGGATTTGCGACACAGGAAATCTCACTGTGTCTGAACCTGCTGTTTGGGTCTGCCAGAGATTCACAGAGATTTGAATGCAGAAATACTCAGAAATGCAATTCTGCACTAACTTTTCTCATATGTTCTGTAGCATAAGAAAAATGCCAAATGAACATATATTAAAAAAAACAAATAGGAAAAACAAGATTTTCATCATAGTGGGTCTTTAAATGACAAATGAAAAATAAACAAAGGGGCTGTTGATTACTCATTTCATATGAGGTTTCCACACAAAAAATAACAAATACCAAACAAATATGTATTAGTTACTTATGTACTGCTACCCCTAAAAAAATACTATTATTCTGTTTTCCATGATGGGACGGTGTTAATACTTTCAAGTTTCTCTGCTTCGTGCTCCTCACTTCCGCTGCTCTTTTCAAGCTTTCTTTAATTTTCCCCTGTACTTGGGTCTGAGGATAGAGGAAATTTGTATACTGTGGAGTTTGTGAAGTCCCTTAGGCAAAACTGTGGCCTATATAAATTTAATTGACTCGGCCTAAAAACATTTAAAGAAGGCAAGTAAAAGCCCTGCAGCTCAATCAAATCCACATAATGTGTAGAGAAGAAAGGGCTGTGTATTTGACAGATGCCTGAGTCAAAGAAATTCACAGCCTCAGCATCACCGCCAATATTCTGGGTCAAATCCAGGCCAACAAAAATGATCAAAAAGCGTTTGTAATTTAAAAATAATTCAGATTTTGACATGCTGAAAGGTGGTGAGTCACAAGAGACTCTAATGCATAAGTCTTGGAGAAGACTTGTCTTAAAAAAGTTAAAAAATAAATTGATAAAATAAAATGAATAGCAAACTTCATAAATGTCAGACAAATTGTCCAGGGACCCTAAATTGGCGTAAATTCCTCTTGCCATCAAAACCCTCAAAGGAAATCAAGCATCTTTCATGCTTTCACTCCATCTGGCTGACCCAATTAGCTTCCCCATGCAGGTGAGCAGAAATGGGATCGAAGTGAAGAACCTCCGCTGACACCCAGTGTGGTGGAGAGGGCTAGCTTTGACATGTTCTTTGACAGCTTTTACACACTTATCTGGGTCTAGACACACACACACACACACACACACACACACACACACACACACACACACACACACACACACACACACACACACACACACACACACACACACACACATACACACAATCACACACAGAGACAGAGTAGGGTAGTATCCTCAAGAGCTAGCTTTTATACTTAACACTTTAAGTGCTTTTTTTTGATGTGGGCAAATTCAGACAAGGTAGCACAAAGGCACAGATAGGACTAAGATGTTTTCAAATTTCTGCAGTGGTTTAAAAAAATCTGCGGTGTCCAAGTTTGATGCACCAACCTCATTCTGAAAAGCAGTCCACCACGTTTATTGAAACCCTGCATGGCTTTGATTTCTAGAGGAAAATCCCACTCTATCAGAGTATGTGTCAGCGTGGGTGTGTAGAACACTTTATTGTATATCATCTATCATCCTACCTGTCATAGTCTCCGTTGCAGAGCGCTCTGACAGGGATGGAGAAGGGCTGCCACACAGGGTTCAGCGTGTTCTTCACCACTTCAGTCTTGTGGCAGATGGTGAACCTGGAGACGCAGGTTGACAGGGATTTAAAACACTTGATACATGTCTTCAGAGAAAAAAACCCTGTAGTAGAATCTTCCCACCGTACTTCTCATCGAGAACCGTGTCTGCATTAATTTAATCTCCCGCTGCTGAGTTCAAGGGATCTCAATCTAATACCCTCGACCTTGGATGCCTTCATCTTTGATGTCCACACCCTCCTGCTCGTTTTTGACAAGCTCAAATGAAAGAGCAAAAAGCACTAGACAAACTTACGTGCCATCCTCATTGCTTCTGTAGAAGACCATGAAGGGGTCTGACTTTCCAAAGAAGTCCTTTTTATCCAGTTTATTGGCACAGAACTGCATGGTGGCATAATCCTATACAGACAGAGGGGGGAAAAACAAAAGGAGGAGAAATGAGAAGACAAAAAAAGCAGAGGACATTGTGAATCCATGCTCCTGCCTCTGTTTGCCTTCTGTTGTTTGTTTATACATGCTGTGTGCCAAGATATAAAAGCACTGAAGCACCAAATAAAAGCAAAGTGCTGAGTGAATCCTAATAAGAGCAGGGTGAAACAAGCCGCTGGCTTCCAAAAAACAAAAATACATTCATTACCATTTCTGTATTATGTAACTCCAGCATAACGACAGTGGATGGGGTAAGGGATATTAAAATTGAAAATACCTTGTTGTGCTGAATGTACTCATAGTGACAGTGTGAGGGACCATGCAGAGGCACAGAAATGGATTCTAAAACCCTGCATCAGAGGGGAGGAGGGGGGCTGTGTACAAAAAGGATGCAGAGGGTGTGAGTGCAGCTAATGATACATTAGAAAGGCTGGTATTACCATAATTATACTCATCTAGGCAGCAATTCAATGTGTGCTGCCATTACAAGGACAATGAACATGCCCCATAATGCTCTTTATTCCAGATATTCTCCCTGTGGTCAAGGTATTAGTCCGTGCCGTGTAACAATGAGGCTGTGGCGAGGGCACAGAGTGGACAGGTAAAACTCAGCACCAGGAGAAATTCTGCTAAGTGTTCTCCATTACAGACCGCCTTCACTTAAATACTGCATGGGCGCTGTAAAACTGTCCGAACCCTTTTGCCCCGTTATGTGCTGCTTATGCAAGTGCAGTCTTTAATCAGCATATCATAAAGAGCCAGTTGGGATGGTGAAAGATGTTCAGAGCCTCTTAAAAGAGAACCTTTTTTTCTCCCGAGGGCCTCCCAGGCTTAAAGGTTTTGAAGGGCAGTATGAGATCTGAATCAGCGTGGTGCAGGGCAGGGCCATTATCGATTTCTCTGACCCACATCAGTGTGGTACACTCTGGCTTTAACCAGTCTCACACTGATCCATCCATTCTACACCCTGGACACAAATGAGACACAAACACAGTCTCTATATCTGAGCAGATAACTGAGGGAAAGATGGATGACATGATATAAATATACAGTCCAGTGGAACAACTCTCAGATTGTAATCATGAAAATGGAGATAGTTCAATTATAACTGTTGTTTCTAATCAACATTTTGGAGCCTAAAAAGCAGATTACAACAGCCAACAGTGGTTTAATAAAGCAGGAGTGTTGTACAGAGACTCTTTATTCACTCTTTATTGTCATTGTCTCTCACGATCTGTGTTCCCGCTAATTCCACCATGTGATTAGCAAAGATATCTGAAAAGGACTGATTCTCTAATTCGTCCTCTGAGACACATATCAGGCAAATTGTAAAGCCTTCTGCTGAACAGATTGTACCCAAAGTGTGTCAAGTCCTCCCATGATGGCTTTTGTCAAAAAAAACAAAACACCTAATTTCCCAGATTCCCACAATGAGTCATTCTTGTGGATTTAAGGAAGATAAAACATCATACTTTTACGTTACAGGAGTGAGGTCGGTTAACCAAGCTCTTAAAATGTGGCAGCATCTCATGGCCATCCTGCTTATCCCCAGCACGGCCCCTACAATTATGCTATCGTGGTAGCACAGTGGCTTAAGCCTTCATTAGGCGCAGATAACACATATCCACTTTGGTGCCTGGCAGTGTTCTCTCATTAAGCGGGAAAAAGGCAGAACATTCAATCCAGCCACCAAGGTTTAGGAGCAGCAGGGGAATACTGAGTGCAGTGCGCATCCTTTCCATTTCTCTGCTCAGGCAGGATATCGCTGCATGGGGTAAGTGGCAGAGGAATTCTTACTGTCACTTTTAGAAAGTGGAACTGTAGGTCTTTCAAAGGAGCACGAGGCAATGCAGACAATACTTGAGCACTGGTTACATAAGCTTATGACATCCTCAGGATGGCACACTGTTGTGCAGAGCCAAATGGATCCTGAGCCAGAGGATAATATGAAGCTCAAATCATTTGTATGCTTCAAATATCACTCTGCTTATTTTGTGAGCCTTAGGTGAAGGACTTTTTGTCAAAGTGAGGAGCACTTGCAAAAAAGAAAATGGTGAGTGAAAAATGGTGTCAAAGCTAAAATGCATTCTCTGATTGCAGTGATAAACTAGGCTTAGGGACGGGGACAATGGTAATTAGGCTTATTGATGGTTGTAGGAGTAGAGAGCTATGATCTGAGCAAACAGAGAGCTCTCTGTGATTAACTGCTGTCATAATTTAAGTGCTGTGTGGTTTACTTAAATTTAAATCAGCCGGAGTTGTGGCTGGACTGCAAGGAGGATCAGAGAGAGAGCCAGCCGCTGCTCAGCATGTCCTATGTGCCAGAGATAACGACAGCCAAGAGGAAGCCTTTGATCCATGCAGAGGATGTTGCTCTGTCTAATGATACCTGGCAAATCCTTCACCAAGGTGAGAGCCAACCTGCCTCTCAGCTAACAGTCCCTGCAGAACTCCCCTCCATCGATTCCCTCTCTCCTGATTTCAGTTTCCCCAAACAAGAGTTGCAGTGTTTACCGCAGGCGAAGCAGCAACTCCGCTGCCTCCATTTATTGGTCACAGGTGGATTAGAGAATAAACATTGTCCAGATGGATGCTAGCAAATCCAAACTGCTTAAATTCACAGGTGGGGGACTTGTCCTGACAGCAGGGTCTTCAGACTGTTAAACAGCAATAACATGCCTTTTTCTCCCAGTTTTCTGCTCTTTCCTCACACCTGAGGCATTTCTTATTCAGGTTAGATTAAATGTAAACAGAACATGTCTGAAGTGACCTGCCAAGTCTTTGTCCCTCTAATGGAGTCAGAGAGAAAGTAAATGGTCATTTCTACCTGTAACAACCATTTGCATTTATATTACAAAGCACTTCTTGAAGTGGTGCTTTGCTTTGATAATGCTTACTCCTATCAATGCAGATCCACTGCACCTGATGACTCGCAGCAGCCCTTCAACGACTATGAGCGCTGATACTCCAATCCAGCAAGAGCCAAATCATGGTTAACACGGCAGTTTTATTATCAGCATGGCTTTTCTGTCACCCTCTAATCGGTGGCTGCTAATCTCTGCTAAAAGGCTCTTATTAAAAAATCTAACTTCTGTTACACCAGGTGCTTTTTCTCTAAACATGCACTGAAAGTTTTAGAGCTTAATCATTAGATGCGTGTATGCATTAGGATGTAATAAACTATTTGCACAATAGTCGCAGCTCAATAGCTTGCTTTATAGCCTCTGAGGGAGGTGGGTTGTTCTGGTCAATAAGTCTTTTCCTGCTCCAGTGGAAGCAGTGTAATGTGATTATTCACTATCTTCATTTAGCAGTGCAGAGTCAAAGCCAATGGGCATTAGTGGACACAGGTTATTAATGCAGACTCATGGATTAACACAACACACATGGGAGGAGATAGTGGGTTCACCAATTGGAATGAAGGGGAGCTCATTAAATGACCATTCAGACTCATGGTATTTTCACACTGTATACTATTTCTAAACGACAAACACAGTTGCACAGTGACATGGCTTATACTGCTGCTTTAATAGGAACAGTTATGATGCAATATATTTTATGGAAGTAAAGCCTATTAAACAGCCCGCCTCACCTCAGTAGCTTTGAGAACATTACTAAACATGCTCTACGTGACAGAAATAACATGCACCATTTCCCCTTCACTGTGTCACATTCAAAGTCACAGTGACATGCAGAAATCTATTAGCTACATTCAATATGTGCAATTACACTCCAATGTGTTTTTAAAGCAACCATTTCAAATTAGGTCATCGAACACTGTTAAACATTTAACAGTAAATACACACAGAGTCGACTTACTCTGCAGTTCCCCAGCTCCTCAGCAGACAGGATAATGGTCCCACATTTCTTCCCTGGTATGCCACTGTGAAAACAATAAAAAAAAAAAATCTTTCGATCTGTCACCAATAATTCTGTTTTCATAAAACAGAACAAATATCAGACTGTCTCTTCAGAGAGGTAGTATAGAGCGTTACTGAGAGGTAGGATCAGAGGCTCTGCCATGGCTTTAGGGCCTCCTGGAAAAATATCACACTGGGCCCCACTTTGCTGCCATTCAACCACAAACCAAGAAAAATATGAGTGCAATACTCTGCACACAATGACACTTTCTGAAATCTTTGTCCTCCATTGGTTTATAATAAAAAATCGATCTAAAACATGTTACAGGCTAAAGTAGCTATTAGATTTTAATGTGCATGAAATCAAAAAGTATTTTTTTTGTATCTGTTAGTAGTATTAAATCATTATATTTTGTGAAAAACAAAAATAAATAAAAAACAGATTTTGACAATATACATCATCCATAGCCCATCCTTCCCACTCGTAGTCAGCATCAGCGTCTGCCTCTGAAAAAACTGCAGTCGACCACTTGTATTTTCACAGCTGGTCACAGTGCTTTTTATACCTTCATCATATTTCAGAAAATAAATCAATTTCACCTCGTTTTGACCGAAGAGGTGGTCGCAGCTGAACCGTTTCATGAAAATGGAAAGGAGGAAGGGTCCATGTAAATAAAACTTACTGTTGGCTAGTGGATACCCATAAGCAGCTATCTTTATGAGTACATTGTGAGTAGGGTTAGGGCTAGAGGTAAAGTATTGTCTTTCAGGAAAAAAATGAATGTTCTACAAGTCTTCATTTTTACACCACTGTTTTAGCTTCTCACTTCCCATACACCACTTAATCAACAGAACAACACTGACATAACAGTAATTACAAAGATAATTACAAAGATAAGTAGTCACTGAGCTTTTTTTTCTGCAGACACACTTTTCTTTTTCAGGCTGATAATGGAGATATTTTTACCTTCAATTACAGCCTTAATTTTATAATCCATTATAAACAGCAGAATGACATTGAATTGATGGTTTGAAAGCCCCGACGAGGACGTTTTTCTTTCACCACTGTAACTAAACCAAAACCTGGTTATACTGACTCAAGTTTTTCAATGCAATGTGAAAATAAACTGCTGAGACACAAAACTCTTCTGATCCATGTTTGGGAGTGCCACACTGGGAGTTTAAAGCTCTGCGGGTCTGCAGTTGTTTACCACAGATTCCTGCTCCAGCAGATGATCAAGACACACGGTAACACACAAAAGGTTCCCTGTGTGACTGTGTTCTTAGGGCCCACCTCCTCAGTAGAATACCAACACTATGGTGCTAACAAAAATAGAGAAACTGTCACACTTGAGTTTGTCTTTTGTGTTACTTTGTCGTGTTTTCCGAAACATAACAAAATGCATCTTTCTAAATCCAAACCTGCCAGTATCCAATGAAGCTTAAAGAAGACTGGAGTGTTTTCCAGCAAACTAAGAGCAAGACAGCAAATCTACTTTACAATCCAGGCACTCTTGTCATTTGCCGGGATAAAGAGGGACAGATGACACTAAAGTCCTTCTGAGACCTTAGCCAGGGGCCAATCACCGGGAGGTCAGACCTGCTGCAGATCACCATCAATCTGCGAGTGCTGATCACACTGGCAGTGATGTAGGATATTGTGCATTTAAATAGAGGAAGCCTTATGCAGCAGCAGCAGCATGAGTTTCATTATTTCCAAAGATAATCTAAAGCAAAGACCTGCAAAAGCACTGGGAATGCCAGGGAGACCTATTAAGAGATAGAAGGTTTCCATGCTCTTATCTGTATGTGCAGGAAGTGTTTACTGTGTTTTAAGAGATATGTTGCTGGGTGTCTCCATTAATCTCTACTGGCCTCTCCCAGGTTTTCCAGGGCTTTAATACACACAGTATGCTCCACAATAGCAGCCAGGCTGGTTATGTACAACCTTTGATCAATATCTTAATATACAGTAAATTCACTGGCCAGAAGCCTCCAGTTGTAAATGCTACACATCCACCAGTGTGTGCAGGAGAGTGACTATTGTCTTTAGTGAAAAGAAGCCATTTCTATCTGTAACCTCCATGAAGACCAATCTCAGGGCAAATTAACCATCCTTGAATTATTGATGTTTCGCTCCAGGTTGTCACGGTGCAGTTTGATGGGACCTCAAAGAGCCAGTAAACCCTTCACCAATGAGGCCAGTAAACTCTGCACACCCCACAGATCACATCATGTCTTCCAGGTCAAAAAAAAGGAGCAATTTTCTTTTAAACTAGGAAATGAGATCCAGTGATTGTCAAAATATCAGCCCCAGACACATTAAGATGCACTCCCCTGCTCTGATCTCTGCTCTCTCTTTGGTATGAGAGCCGTACCAAAAGGGCAATGGACTTAGAATCAGACATGCATTATTGAGTGTGGCATTTTCTTTGACAATGACTCGTTAACTTGAAGAGCAGCACACACTGAATGGATAAATACAGTTCCTGTGATTCATCTGTTGGTTCCTTTTCATGGCAGAGACTGACAGTTTTTCTGCAGCCTCAGCGACTGAAATAAGAGAGCTGGTGATATGAAGTGTCCGGCATCAAGAGGCCTCATTCGCTCAGCAATCATTCGAGAAGGGTTCCTCGGAGGGAAAAGCTTTCATGATGAAATTATGTGAAATATACTGCTGTGGTCCTCCTTGCCTGACTATCTGGTAGAACAAGGTCTACAGTCTGACTGCCGTGAGAAGCTGACGGGCCTAATCAACTTGTTGTGTAATCATATTTCATATTCCTCTCTAGTGATGCTTCTAATCATCTAAATATTCAAATTACAACACCAGCAGAGTATTTTGTAATATTTAATGGTTCCAATTTCCAACAAGCTAACTCATGTCAACATGAGTGTAATTCTTTTAATTGGAAAGTGTGTGAAGGGATGTTTTTCTCCACATGTACTCTTTCCTTCTTTTGATCTGACTTAAAGCAGAAAACAGACCTAAAGATCCTAAATATTTAAAAGTATAACTGAATCAATGAATGGTTTGGTTGTTTTGATGTACAAAAATACTATCTGGTTACTAGTTACTGCATTTGAAAAGTAACTTCACTTCTTAATACTTTACTTCCCATTTCTTAATTTACCGCGTAGAGGTACATGGACAAACATCATAGGCCAATCATCACTGAGCATAGTCTGCATCATTTTGTTTATTGTATAAATGTATACTCTCCATTTCCATCTTTCTTTCGCATCAGCAGCTACGTCACTCAAATCTATCTCTCCATAGGACTTTCAAAGGCAACATGATTGCAAAATGCATGTTGGGTCGGAAAGCACCATCTTCGCAGGCAACTTTTTGTTTATATTCCCCACGGAGGCTGCGAGATAGCAACATAGTCAGAAAAAAACACCTAAGAAAAATGAATCCTGCGAAAGAAAAGACTGTCAGAGCTTACAGAGACAAGCTGGACAATGGTCCATAGACTCAATATCAAGAAAGAATACAAAAGATGAAATTGATCCTTATGAGCACCAAACCCCTGCTTATTGTCACAAACACACAAGCAGCACGTACGCATGAACCATATCAACAAATCAGAACTTTGCACACAGGGAAACAGCTGATGTAAAGCAGAAAGGTGCGTTACTATTGTTTAGTTATTTAGTTACCGTTTTTCTTTTTGTACTGCGTTACTTTACTTCGGTACCCTGAAAAAGTAATACTGTTACTGTAATCTGTTACTTTGTAATGCGTTACCCCCAACACTGGTAGACCACAGAAGTTAGTGTCTTTGTCGTACTGGTAGTGTGATAAACTTCCAGTCCCACCAGTATTTGATGCATGTCATCTCTTCTTCTCAGGACTGATTTTCTGTTTTATGATTATTCAATACCTTGATAGACAAAAATCACCAAGTGTCTTTCACTCTTTTGAATGACAATCCACTAGTTAATTGGAATATTTCAATTTCAATGTAATATAACAAATATTATTGGTTAGAACGTCCAAATATAAAACCAGTATTCTGACCAGCGAAACCCTTCCAACTCTGGACCGGAATGAGCTAGGATGAACCATTGATTGTTTTATTAACCTTGAGCTTAGTCAGAGAATAGGAACGTCAACGCTTGCAATTCTGCTATTAAATTTCTGTATAATTTAATGCAATTTACTGTTAAAGGGAATAATAGTATGGAACAGCCAATTTTGCCGAGCAATAATGACATCTGTATTCAATGAATGAAGCGCAGACAGTGGAATAGAGATTTGATGAGGTGGACTCATTCTGAAAAGACTGACGGCAGTCTGTTATCCTTTGTGGCTTGCAGTGCTGCAGGGAATGATTAATGTGATAAAATGAAGGCATTAAAGCTTCCTGAAGCTCAGTGACGCATATGACAAGTGACTGCACTAACCACACGGTAAGTAGCTATGATTCTTTTCACTATTCACATTTCTCAATAATTCATTTTGTCATGAACAGGCTCCCCTTGGCACCTGACCCACACCTTCCCATATGGTGCTCCTGACCAATCCAATGTCAGTCGAAACCTCACAAGGCCTCATATTAGCATCAGGGAGGGGAGGCTACAACCTTAGCTGCTCCTCCTTTCCAGAAAATCAAACAAAACTTCATAAGGACCGCAAAAAAGTAGAGACAGAGATGAACCTGTGAAGGTAGTGTGACTAGATAAGACTGAATCCAAGTCCTGGTCCACATGTGGGGCAGGTGTTTTTGAAAGTAGAGGTTTTTCTCTGACATTCCTGTCCACACAACAGGGCAGAGATGGTTGAAAACGCTCACATAAGCATGCCAGATCACTAAGAGGTAATAATGTGTAATCAGTCGGTCATACCAAATACAATAGAAGAACATTGTGCGCATCTCTTTACTGGTGTACAGAGTGGCAAACAAAAAACCATCGATCAAAATATATTTTTCTTTGCTCCCATCACAATACAACGATGAAGAACAGCTAATTTTCACAGAAACATGCAATTACCAAGTAGATACGTGCCAGTGGCCCACCAACTTGGCACATGCACAATACATATTAACAAGAAATACCATGCCCACGTTCCAGTCATGACGCCAGTGCTCTCCAAAACTTTTGTTCATGCTGCCCACACGAACACGCAAAGTTCTTAAAAATCTCCACCTTGCAAAGTGCTTCAGTGGACATAATGGAATCATACCTTTTGTAAATCATACAACAAGGATTCTGATCTAGAACACAGTCTGTATAATACATGAAGCAGAGTTTTGAAGCCTATTGGCAGTGTTTGCCATGTTGGTAATACTGACTCGGTCAAACTTTTGGTCTACCGAACTGAGGAAGACCTTTAGCCTCTTCAAAAATAACTACAGTGTGCCCCCCGAGTCAGTCACGTCTACCGTGCCTCTGACTTGCCAACTCCCAACCTTATGATCTTCATAACAAATGTATTACCCAAAAAACAAACAAACAAAACAACTCCATAAAGTGGGTGGCTTTTTAAACTATAGTGTACGCAGTTCATGATGCCTCTGAAGCGAATCCAAGTGGACATTTCGGGATCTGAGCATATATGCATTGGCTCATTTCTCAAGACCTGAGGTTGAGTTCCTTTCTGTGACCCCAGTTCAGAGAGCGCAACAGGACCAGAATCTGTCGACTGTGTTGCCAATCATACATAAAAAAAAGCAAATTAAATAAACTCTGCAGAAAAATGAACACTTAAGCATCAGTCAGCACAATAGAACCCAGCTGGAATGACAGAAAGCATGTTTTAGAAATCTAACCTGGTAAATGATTTTGAAATTTGAATCATGTCCCATCTGTTGACATGGAAGAGTGAGGCTTTGTAACCTGTTCTGCAGCCGTCAAGGCAGTGGAGCTTCAAATGCTTTGGCTTTACATTGCAGAGTTGTCATTTCACATTTGTTATGAAACACCCCATGGTGCTGACAGATCTCCACTTTGATCAAGTGAATGAAAAGAGATCAAGCAGCATATTTCAGCTTCACCACAATTATTTTGCCAAAGTTTCTAAAACAGCTGCAGAGTACTGATGGGAACAAAAAGTTTATCTCTAATCAAGAGAGGCTGCATAGATGGCATTTACTCCGACAAAAAAACAAGCGTCACAGATCATCGTGCAGAATATGCTATTCATATTCCAACCCAATGAGTGGTCACTGTAATTTCCCATCTAGAGAAGGATGCCGTCATCAGAGGGTGATTCACAATGACTGTGTTGTCTATTACCAAGCAGTGGCGAGATGTGGGGGGCAGTGGTTGCTGAGATTAAAGTCCAAAGAGAAAGAGGAAAGCAATTGTTGATGCTGTTCACACGGGGTCATTAGGATGAAAAATGGTCTTGATATTTAACAATGCTGCAACGTGTCCTGCATACAAGAGTTGTGGGAAGGCCAAAAGAAAAAAGAAGACGTTGTTTTTTTTTTTCCCTCCGCAGCTGTTGCAGGGTGCTAACACATATTTTCCAGGCAAATAAAATAGCAACATTCCCAAACAGTGTTATCATGCTTAGAGGATTACTACAATTCTATTTCACACCAAGAGATAAGCAGATTGAAAACATGGTTTGAGGAGATGGAGGGTGTTTACATAGTTTTGAGTGAACAACAGAAGATTTTGGTCGCTCAGGTTTGTGAATCTAATGAATCTCTCTGGATGACATGAGTGGAAAAGGCAAACGAACGAGTCTAGTTTTGAAATGAGTTTAAGACCAACAGAGGCAGAGGCGGACGCATAATTTGACTTTGTGCCACTGTAAACGTTCAGGGCAGTGGGCAGACCCCAGTAGAACAGAATTAGACAAGGTTGACAGAACCGTACGAGGTTCAAATGGGATTATACCTTTAATCCTCTTGATCTTTATACACAGATAAGCATCCATAATCCCTCACCTAACCAGGATTAAAAAAAAACATATGAAAAGTGCACCAGCTATTTCCAAAGGACACAAGACTACCAGAGTGTAGAGCTCCAAGTGTGGAAGGAAAGAGACCAGTGCTGCTGTTTGTGTTTAAAGCAGGTAGCTACAGGCAACCTGTGCTAAGCTCTTTGAAGCTTTGTTAAAAAGAGCACAAAGCAAGAAAATAGGGCAAAAAATGTGGCAAAGAAAACGTCAGATGTGCACAAAACAACCTGGAGTGAAGAATCAGTTTGTGTTGGTAACACTGGAAACAAGGTGCAAGGCATGAAACCAGAACATTTCCACTGTGTCATCTTTTTTTCCCTTTTTGTTGCAGGTATGTTGTTGCTTTGCGCTTTTCATTGCATTCATCAGGTCTCCCACTAATGCCTTAACAACCATTTTCACAATGTCAGTTAACAAAAATAATCCCATTATCCATGGAAAACAATCTTTATTCTTTTTGTGAAAACCAGTTCAGACTTGTTTTATTTCCTATCGTGTGTGTATAGTGATGAAATGAGACTTGAAGTCTTAATTACATCAATTATAAGCCTTAATCACCATGATAATGTTTAATTTCTTGTGATTTCAATAAAACGAGACACTCATCAACCACCTGCAAGCTAAAAATTGCATGTTTTGACGGAGAATTAGGAGAAACTGTCAATCAGACAGCAACTTTCTTTCTGAGCTTACAAGGTAAAACTGCTCAAAGTTATGACAGCGAGTGTACATCACCCACTGGTATTCCCGCTGCCAACAAGAAAAACCCTTCTCTGGAGGACATAACGAGCCCATTTCAATTTCCCCCAAGGCAAGAACAGAACATCCCTCTCTATCAGGGGCCAAAAGAGATGCCCAATCCTTTTTGTTATTGCACATACGATCTACGTAGCATTTTATGTGGCTGCTTGACAACCAATCACAGCTGATTCTCCTCTCCTTTCTTCACAGCAGTGTCACCGTGCTGCAGCACCTTTCACCCCCTCTCCTGGATGTAATGGAATTCATATCATGTAGCACTGATCTGCCCTGACCTCTTCTGTGGTGGTTACTGCTGACTATAGATTGCAATCTGTGTGCCCACAGATCGTTTTCAGCCGCTGAATAGATTAATGACACAGGAGTGTTTAACAGGGGCCAGAGAGTGCTTTTCTAAAAGGCTTTCAGGGGGTTGCTCACCTTTGTAGTAGCAGACGACATAAAAGAAATGAACACACTGCAAAACAAATTAGCCTATCTTATCCGCTAAACAAAAACTCACTCTGCCCTTGTTTGCCCTTGCACCTGAGGTCTCCTTTAGAAGACAAGAATCTGTTCCCTGATTAGCTACTGAACTCTAGAAACTGGGGGCCTTCATAAACAGACTATGTTGTACAGTGTGACTAGTACAATGCCAGTGAACCCGAGACTGTCCTCACCTTGTTTACTACATTTAAGAATTTTTGATTTATCCTAATTTTACCATTTTCCCTTTTTCACTAATATGCCGATGTACATGCAAACCATAGACTGTATGTAGAATGGACGCCATCTGCTTCCTCTCTGGGTGAAGTGAGAACAGCACCCTCTGGTGACGAGCTGCAATAAAGGTCATAAATCCCGCCTCCTCCAGCAATCCTTATGAAACCGTGGACAAACTTTAGAAATTAATTACACAGAATATAAACTTTTCTCCCCCTTCTTGCAATGTTGACATGTACTTACTGTAAGACGGGTTTGTGCTCAAGTCCCCTTTTTTTCTGTGCAGATCCATTTTTCAAAATTTTTAGGGGTTCATGTTTTCCTTTGATTGACACTTGATACAGCCTATGGGCGTACAAAGTTTGCATAGTTTACCCAGGGGATTTGCTGTTTGAGCCGAGCGTCATAACAGCGACTCTCGGCGACTCACCTGCCGAATGCGTACAATGCAACTGCGCAAGTGGTGGTTCCAGAAAGTGGAGAAAATCCCGGAAATACAGAGAGCAATTCAGCTTCAAATTCGTATAGCCAAATGTTGAAAGGCGTAGCCAAGTTGTACATAGTATATACAGTCTATGGTGCAAACCATATTCAGTTAAACATTACTGTGCTCAGTGGGTGAAGTCATACTGCAGTGATCACAAACTACACATATACTGTTTTTACTGACTGAGAAGCAAGTCAGTAGCACGGCTGCATGTCTTTGTCTATCAGAAGCCCTCTGTTGTCTAGTTTTTCACAGTCCAATTAAAATAACATGTCACAAGTAGCAGTAATATACCGCCCCATTGACTTTAGACACATTTTTTTTCATCTTGTTGCTCCTGCTGCCTCGAGATAGCAATGTGCCACCAACAGGCCTGACCCAACACGCCCATAGACACACAAGAAGGTGCAGGTGCAATTGCTGGAAACACAATGCGGGTACTGGGTGTGAAAGATGACAACTGCATCAGTCAGAGAAAAAGCATCAGGTCTCTGGTGTGCTATGAGACGAGTGTGAGGCAGTGCTCCAGGATCATTAATAGCCACAGTATGTATGAAATGAGCTGCTGTTTTTTATAGCGAGAAAGGAAATAAAACTTTTTGTGATATATGGATCCTGTGAGAGTTATAAGCAAAGACATCTAACTAGCTCTAGGAGAGTTTGGTGAAAACATTTTTTAATATAAGGGCCAGGCTGTGGAATAGGCAGGAGATTTGCCTTTTACAAACCCCGTGCTTTTTTTATAGGACAAACAGGAATCTTGTATATCAGCATTGTTGGTGTTTTCAACACCTAAGCAAAAATACACACTAGAAAGGGGCCCTTGTTAGTGTGCAGCCTTTGAGCCTAAATTGGCATTTAGCGAGGCAGCAGAGTGCTTTAATTGTGTGTGATGTCCCGAGGCAGGAGATGCTGATTACTTTAAGCCTTTCAAAACACTTAACCTCCCAGTTAAGTAATACAGCAAAACACAAAGCCAAGCAGGCAAAGCCACACCTGCACAACTGTCTCTTTCAGAGTATCAGCTGTTCTCAGATTAAGGGTTTTTGGATTCACCAAAAAATGAACCCCTCTGCCTCCCACTCATATTTAAATCTGCTGCAGCAAGCTCTATTTTTCATCTCAGAGGAACTGTGGCTATAGCCCCGAGTCAGCCAGCCAACTACATTAACCAACAACTTTAAAAGAATTGTGAGTCTCTGAAGTCGAGATGAGACAAGTGATGCCCTCTGCCTCAGTTTTCTCTGAGTAAACTTCTGGTGAGTCATGCAGCTCTGCTTTGTTGCACAGTAATTTGACATCTTATAACCATGAAATTGAATAGATATACTTAATAGTTTCACTCTTTCATTTTTTTTTAAGATAAAGTCTTGAGGGCCATGAATTACGGTATGTAAAGACAGAAGCTGTCTTTTATACAAAATGTTTTATGCTGTATTTCATCCCCATTTCTGTGAGATTTCAGCTGATGTTTTCTAAATGAAATGAGTTGTGGAAGACCTTGAGTCCCTTTCATTGAATACTAAGTCATATGGCCATCAGATGTTTATTTTAGACCTTTTTCACTTGGTTCTCATCAAAGCAAGTAAGTTGCGTGCCAGGTCAGCTAATATCAGCACAAATAACTGTTCCAGGTAATAAAATGTTCCATGTATAGTTGCTTTGCATATGTTATTACCCCAAAATACTCAACCCTATTATGGTAGCAATAATGAGGACTAACGGCAGAATACTCTGTAACAGTCATTTCATTAGCATTTACCATTTGCAAGCTAATTTAATAGTGATTGCTAACATTAGCAGACTACACTGTTACTGTGGCTCCACAGTTTTAAGTGCTGTGACAGTTCAGTTTGATTTTGAGAACACAGTCAGGGCTGAACAAGAGACGTGACTGTAGTGTTCATGGTTAGATTGATCCAGTGATAGCTGTAAGCCAGTTCCTAAAAACAGAGAGCTAACCAGGGTGTGTTTATTATATTGTTCCTTGTGTTGAGAAATGAGCTGATGCCTAAAACTGCACTGGAAAACCACATACACACTTTTTCTTTAAAACAAATAGAAACATGTATAGCCTACCGTCTGTTTTATAAAAACAGGATTAGGCTAAAAGCTTAATTCTACCTCTGCACACTTTTTTCTTTAAAGATTTTCATCAAAGTGGGTCTTTAATTCATTTGTTATTCAGGTTACTAGTTTGATAAATTAGAGGCACAGCTAACGTGACTGACAGGCCGTGGTACTGTTGTCAAAGGCCTGCCTCAAATCCACCTCTTCGTCTCAAGATATGTGACCAAAAGCCGCATCTTTAATATGGTGACTACCAGTAATAGGCTTCAAAGCTCTACTTAAGATGAAAATGGTTTGGGACTATATACATATATTCATTGTACAGTCTACAGTTTGTCCCTAGTCTGCCTAAATTGATGAATATTTAGTTATTCTGTAGATCAACTTCACCTGAATAGGACGTTAATTTCATCAGGAAAGTTTGCAATAAATATTGTCATATAAAACAACAAATGCATTATAAATCCCAATACTACTCCTGATGATGATGCCAGTCATGGAGGACATGAGGATAATTATAAATGAGAAGCTTCTGAGACTAGCCAGAAATATTACAGTCACATTTTAGTCCACAGAATCTGTTATGTTAGTTTGCAGTAAACCTGATCAATGTGTTCTGATGCAATGCTGAGATTTAGCCTTAGAAAAAAATTAAATCTACATTTAATCCATACTAAAAACCACACACACACTATAGAATCCTTTAAGGCAGAAAGTTTTAATGCTATTCTTACTTGTGACTTGATCTGGCACAGAGATGACCCCATGAGTGAAAGCAAAATTGATTTAATAACAGTAGAACTTTAAACATTTATATCTGTCATCACTCTGCTTATGTAGCAACATCTGTAACACAACGATCAGTCATTGTTGTACGAGTGCAGCACCAAACACTTCATCTTAAAAAACACACAGTCCTCACAGTTCTTGAAGATGGAAAATGATAGATTAGATCACAAAAATGTATTATGAGCAAAGCTGTGCTGATAATACAGACTTTCATTAAACCAAGCAACCAGTGGTTTTAATCAAATATTGTCCCCGCTTTCATCAAATCTAAAATCTCTTATCAGGTTACATTTATTTTTCAAAGGAAGCATAGACTCAAGAGAAAATGTATCAGTTTAACTGCGCCTCAGCTCTGTCTTTATGGTTATTTTCTGACTTCGACCATTGGCTCCCTGAAATGTAATTTCGACTTAGCCTTTGACTTTGAAGATTGAAATTCAAAGCAGCACATTGGTGCAGACTCAACTGACCTAGAAAGACAAGTTAAAACAGCAAAGTTGAAGGAAAACGTCTTTGGTTCTACATCTGTGCAGCTTGTCCCACACATCAAGGATACTTGGATCACCAAAATATGATGCTGACAGTTCCAACCTTTTTATTCTCCTCATTGTATCCGTCATCAATGGACTACTTTTTTTTGTTGTTGCTACCCAATCCTCAGGTCTGTTAACATGTAGGGCCTTACACATGCTGGGTGTTTCTCATGCACAGACAATACTTGGACAGGCCACCCAGGTTTATTTAGGGCAATTTGCTCAACATCTATGTTTTGTTTTTGTTTTTTTCTGAGTACAGTCTTTGTATCTACCTGCAGATGTGTTAGGCTTATTGTACACATGGAGTTTCCAAAAATGTTCACTCGTACGGTAGTAGTGTAAGTTATGTTAAGTCTTTTATCGCTTGTCTCTTTTCTCTTTTACCTCTATCTTATTTTGGCTTTACTGTCTTTTTAGCTTTTGTTACCCTTATAATCTTTTCCTAATCATCTCTTTCGGCCTTTTATTATTTTATCTCTTGCTCATTTTGATTAATTATTCTATTTTATTGTTACTATAATAATAATAATAATAATTATTATTATTATTATTATTATTATTATTATTATTATTATTATTATTGTTGATGTTGTTGTTGTTGTTGTTGTTGTCTTTTTATATTTACTAGCATGTTTTCTGCTTTAAACCCCCCTTTTTATTGCATTTTCTTTTTCTTACTGATTTGATATTTTTATTTTGGTCCTGATGGTCTCATTTTATGTGGCATGGTTCTTGTTTTGTCTGGGTTCCCAATGACATATGATAATGGCCTACAGTTCTGAGGCCTTGCTTTAACTGAGCTTTTTGTTTTTATATCCGTGTGCTGCCATGCTGTGTTTGTCAAAGCACTTTGTAAACCTTTGTTTTTAAAAGTGCTATAAATAAAATAAAAAGTTATTGTTATTACTATTGGAGTGCTATAACCTGAATATGCATTGATGTTTTTCATGAACTGCCTACACAATAAAACCCTATGGGGGTAGAGGACTAAAACACTAGGTTATGCCTTTGGATGGTTCCCAACCCACAGGTGGGATACACATACGTACATGTTTTTTCCACATTATTTTTTCTGTGTTTCCATGAATCCCCCAGCTCCCACAGGAGCAGCCAGCACACCCACGTCAGTCACTGTAATTTTGCTTCTGGTTTATTTCCTGCTTCAAGCATACTGCAGTACGGCACAGTCACAGTGAGCTAATGGGTTTAAAATGCTAATGTTGTGCTACAATCATATATGCTTCAGTGTGAGGTATAATTTACCATACCAACATAAAAGGTTACTGCCATTTGTAAAATGAACTCTATTATCATGTTAACCACACACATATTGTGACTCCCTCCCACAGGCTACTCTCATTATCACAACCATGTGAGTTGTGCCACAGCTGAAATGATTTGGAGTAAAAGATGCCACTCACTCACCTGCATCAGTCAATCATTTAGCTCGGCGTTTCCTCAGCTTCCGATAACTTTGATACATGTGCCTCATTAAAACCAGATTATACACGGGATGGGTTTGCACCACGGTGTCACTTCAGTGCTTCATAGCCCTCATTCCTCCCACTGACAAATGTTTCTGTCTTAATAAAAATGCGTGGGGAAAGCCATGCATCTCGTCTGACCGTTCATTTTCTCCAATAAACATACAGTATGTCTGTGAAAATCCGCTCTGACAGGAGGGCCAGAAAATTTAATTTGTGGCCATAAGCACATGACAGAGGAATTCAGAAATTATTGAGGTAAATAATTTCGCCAAGAATGAGAGGTGGGTCATGTTACGTATGATAGGAAAAGAGTGTAAGAGACCACATGTATCGGTGTGTATGCAAATGCATTATATATTAATCACAATGTGGATATGTGCAATCCCACAAGATGATGAGAATGATGAAGACCCTAAAATACAGTCCTCACAAAGTAAATAATTCATATATTCATATTGGTATGATACATGAATGAGTAAGTTATATTTATCTATCTTTATAGATAGATAGATAGATAGATAGATAGATAGATAGATAGATAGATAGAAAGATAGATAGATAGATAGATAGATAGATAGATAGATAGATAGATAGATAGATAGATAGATAGATAGATAGATAGATGGATCTCGTAGTTCGCCCATTGTTTTTGGTGCGGCATGAAAACCTCTTCACAGACAGCCTAGCCTCAGAGATATCAGAGGATCCCATACATTATTATTTAAGGTGCCTTTGATATGATCTGATATGATATGAGTGGACTACAGGCCAGCAGAAGACAAAAAAGGGAAAGAACTGAAATAATCAAGTTTGGTTTTAGGCAGAGGTTGAAATGCTTTGGTTCTATTTTGGGCGAAGGTTTTGTTGGTGCGCAGTGATTACGGTCAAAGTGAGACCAGGATATGCCAGTATAACACCCTAACAACAATGGTGGTACATTTTTGCTTGTGTGTTGGATTGAGGAAAAAGCTAAAGCTATGCAGAGCACAAGGAGGAGGAGGAGAGGTTTGGGAGAGGAACAAAGACAGAAAACACAATGAGGGAAAAGAGGGTCGGGCGAGGAAAAAAAAGGATCTGGTAGATGGAGGGAGGGAAAATAAATGAGAGATGAAGTGTAGAAAATAGGGAAAGGGGAGCTGATGTGCCTCTTAAGCAGGTCATTGGATGCAGTGTGCCTTGGGAGGACTTGTTAAAGCATAGCTAACAGATTTCCTCAGTCTCTGCTGGAGCTGCAGTGTGTGAAAGCACAGCCAGTTTGAGAGACTCTATTGCCCATGAATACTGTTTTGCTTTTCTAAAAAGGTGAGGGTTAATAACCTGCACCTTTAACTGAATTCAACGTGTGTGTTTTAATTGCTATCACAAGTCATTAAAAGTACTGGGAAATCTGAGCAAACTATGTTCATAATTGCACTTTCCTTAATTCCTGAAGCCCTGAATTAAGACAGACTTTATACCCGCTGTCACCCTCTGCTGCAGCTAAATTGGGTGTTGCATCAGGGTGGATTCACAGCAGGGATGTAGGTGCCCAGCAGAATCAATACTTTTGTCCATCATGTCTGGGGGCTCCTGAGCCTCCTGCCTGTCTCTGATGTGCAGAGTGAAGCCTAGTTTACAGCACGCTGTCTCTTGATCCTGCTCATCCTCTTATTCAGCACTGAAGGGCAATGAGCTCTGTAATCCACAGCCACCAGTCCCTCACAGGGTTCATGGTCAACACCAAAGCCTTGTTGTTCATAGAAACCCCCCACTGCTGGGGCCAGCTCTGCCTCAAACTTCACAAAATCCGCACACTCTTACATAAACAAACACAAGCTCCATAGTTTGTCACAAACTCCCTCGTACTAGCCGAAAGACACACATAACTCAAAAAGACATGCGCGCATCTGTGGGTGCCAGCAGCTTCATATTTCCCAATTTATGTCAAGGCGAAGCTGATAGTGCCATGTGTCCCATGCCGACTCAAACCCACTCTCTGTGCTAGATCGCCTCCCTAATGACTCTAATTGTGTTGAGGAAGCCCCTGGTCGTGTTCAATTACCCGTTCCCATCCAAGCACACGGGTCTAATCTTGCAGTGTAATGTGGGATACAGATGGCTAGAAGGCAGACGTATCCATCATCACCTCATTTTTGCTAGAACGTGTTGAATCCAGCAGGAGAAACATGCAACACTTGCATGAGCTGAGGGGTGGCACAGAGTTTTCATTATTTGACAACATCTGAAAAATTGTGTTTGCATGTTCAAAATTGCTCTATTTGTCTCCTGAAGAGGCTAGGTGAAGTAAAACCACTTCTCAGCTCTGAGTGTCTTTCTTGTGCGCCACTTGCATATCAAAAGCATAAACCGAGTCAGATGAAAACTTACCCTAGAGGTTTCTCCAGGCGACTAGCAGGTGAGCCTACAATCTCTCCCAGAGTGCAGTGGACCTGTCCCAGGAAGTCCTGCCATGGGGGGAGCACAAATTGGGATGTAGAGAGACCAGTATTGGGGCAAAGGATGAGGGTGTTCCGGGGGATCACGAGGGTAACAAGGAGAGTTGGTAAGGAGTTCAGCATTGTTATATAAATTGTACAGTTATAAATAAGGACATCTGAGGCAGACACGTACGTTAAAGTCGGTTGGCTTCCAGGGTGGAGAAGGAGCAAGAGGAAGAGAGAGATACCAGGCAGCAGCAGTGACACAACAGAGCATATCATGGAACAGAAGGCACACGACTCAAATACCAGACTGTCATCAACAAAGTGCAAGAAAGAAGAGCAAAAGTAGATATGTGAAAGAGCAGTTAGGCAGAATGGTAACAGCAAAGGGTGAAGAGTCACAGAGTCTCAGAGGGAGTGAAGAGGAAAATGAAAGAGCTCAAAAAAAGGACAGGAGCAAAGGAAAAGGAAAAAATCTCACAGTTTCAAAAGCATGCGGCACAATGCAGAAACACAACAATAAAAGCTTCAGAGTGACAGAAGAATTACCGAAGATGGGAGTTTTGTATGTCATATGCAAACCAAGCACTGCAAATATATTCTTCATGTGTCTGTGTATTTTGGGGTAAATGTTTACTTGAATGTTTATTCTTCGATAAAGAGCTGTCTTTTTCTGACAAACAAACGATTTAAGTAAATGTGTATTTTCTGAAAATGCCTCCTGTCTTGCAAATGACCATTTAAACTGCAAACAGCTTCACAGCGCACACAGGGAAATGTGTTGAGAGGCTTTGATAATGATATGCAATGCTTCATTTCTCATTTAAATTAAAGGTAACTAGGAGATGCCAGATGCAAATGAAACTCTGATTATTTTAGCTCTGGAGGAATAAAATTTCTCATTTAACTCATTTGCAAACCCAAGCAGTTGGGTTTTAAAGAAAAATGGACAATGTTCTTTTCAGGTTAAGCATAATTTATTCATTACCCAAAAGTATATTTCAGCATTTAGATGCCATTAATGTTGGTTTGCATATAACCTTACTAATAGAGGTGTGCACCCACAACAATTCAAGCATTTTAATGAGAAAATGTGATGTTGAACTCAAATTCAAAAGAGAAAGTTCTTTACTTACATGCTTCGCAAGATCTGGACTTTTAGAGTCAATGTCGTATCTGAAATTTAAAAAAAAATAGACCACAAATTAATGGAGCGAAGACATGTGGACAGAGCCAGAGCTTGTCAACAGGCAAGACCTTACTCCGCATAAATGTCCTGAAATATTGCAACGAACAACTAGTGGTTGAATTGCAATAACATCTTAGACAGATACCCCCCGAAAGGGGCCCCATGTCATCCCTGTCACACTGCTATGTGATCTACGTCCCTCTTCACTGAAGTGTGTCAATCAGAGCAACGTCAAAATCAGTCATGAAGTGGAGATACTTATCAGGGAGTGAGAAAAGAAAGAGAAGTAAAGAGACAGAAAAAAGGAGAAAGCAAGATAGTGGTAAGTGGAGCAGATAGCAAAGTGTGGCAAAGACTTTAACTAGCATTAGATGTGAGGCTGGCTGTTAACTGTTTCGTAGTTATTGATTAATGAAAGTTGTGTTTTAACTAGCCTAACTCTGACACTATTGATGCTTTGAAATTTAGATCTAAATTTAAACAGTGTGCTTTCTGCATGAAAGACTATCAACTTTGGAGCATTTAACATACTGAAGTAAACAGTGTGCTTTCTGCATGAAAGACTATCAACTTTGGAGCATTTAACATACTGAAGTAAGTCTCGGGCATTAAATCTTAGAACAAAGGTGAGGTACTGGCTATTGTGGTAAAAACATACCAGAGCTATAGCTATTTTAGAGCAACATTTTAAAGTTATGTAGTAATAATGATAATTGTTTTTAAAAAATTCACTGTTTCTGACCTCTTTTGTTGGTTTCAGATCATTTATATGTTTAACGCTTGTCAGAGGGGCCCCTTGAGAATTTTTGCTTGGGGCCCCAGCACACTCTAGAATCGGCTCTGCATGTGGAAAATATGATCGGCTCTTATTTGTACAGGAGCTCATAAAGGAACACAGGATGCTGCGTGGACATTTTCCACTTGTCAATCACACACCTGGGTCATTGTGGGAGGAAAAGCGAAAGACTGGTAAAGATAGAAAACGTAAGCAATAATGACAGTTAATTAAAGAGCTCATACTATAGTTTATGAATGTAATTTCCGTACTTTGCCAGGGGGATCGTGTTGAAACCATCTACCAAAGCAAGGGAAGTTTGAAGCACCTGCCAGTCAATGTTAAAGTAATTAAATCTGAGGATGCCCCGACTCCCACCTCTGTGATAAAAAAGAGATGTAAATGAGAACGACTAATTGTGAGGGGATGCAACTCCTCTAGCGCTGTCCCTGTGTTGTATTATAGTAATACACCAAATGAATTCATTAAGTGCCTAAAAATCCTCAGAGACTTGCAGCTCTTTGGCAGAGCTACTCCACTAGAGACCTCATGCTTGAAGGGAGAGGAATAAAGGGGACGGTTTTTAGAAGCATATCTGTTCTCCTTGAGGAAAGAGGGGGTGTGGAGAAAATGATCCCGACACTGTTCTCTGAGATCTCAAAATGAAACTGCACCTTCCTGACCCTCTCACTAGTCTGGCCTTTTCAAGAGAGGGAAGACAGTAATATGTGATAGAAGGGGAGGGCAAGGGGTCGAAGTGCGTTTTTATGGGACTCCGTTTTTCAGACATTTGCTCTTCTTAGCAGCAGGGAGATTAAGAATAAAACTTTGTATAAAATATTTATCACCCTTATTCCAATCTCCCTTCAACAAATGACTATTGAGCGACTACACCAATGAATAATTTCTCAAGAGAGAGAGAGAGGGAGAGTCGAGTTGGTGATGAGGGAGTGAGAAGAGTAGAAAAGGTAAGAGGAATCGAGAGACAGGGAAGAGTAAGAGGGATGAAACGATAGCAGAGGCAAGAGAGAGAGAGTAAGAGTGCATGGGGGAAAAGATTTGAATTTTTGTGATGGGAACAAAAGGAAGAAATGGAGGACAGCGTTCGGAGAGGGTGAGTGTGGAGCGTGGAGTGTGCGTCCTCAGAGAACAAGCTCAACGGAAACTCACACGTCAAAGCGCAGGTTCTGCTTCTCCTCAAAGAAGTAGTCCAGGATGAACTTCCTGACAAAGTCTGGGTTTAGCGTGTTGTCTATCACTTCTGTTCTCCCAAACTAGATCAGCACCAGGAGAGAGGGGGAAAAAAACAGAAGAAGGAGATGTGAGCATACAGCACTGAGACAGCACATCATGCAGTCGCACAGAAACTACATCTGCTCTATTACCTCAGCCCACCCCCTTCAGTTTACCCCAGCAACTGTGTGAACTCACGACTTTGGATAAGCTTAGATTTGATTAACAGGAGTCAGTGATCACACAGTGTCAGCTCTTCTATGCTGCTTTTTTTATCCTGCTGGGGTTGAGCAAGCCTGAGGAAAGCACTTTATTGAGTCCAATTACACTAATTTAATTAATACTACATTTACGCCACCACTGCTCTCCGAGCCACTTCAAAACAAAGCTGAGGAAATGGGAAAAGAGGAGAGGGAAATATTCACTCTCACATTTCCCTTAAAAGAAAGAAACTGTCAACTGATGGGAAGATGGCAGGCTCTCTCTTATTCCCCAGAGTTAAGAGGAGAATGGAAAACTGCCAGCACAGACACTAAAAAGTGATTTATCAGTGTTATAGAGCGAGCCCCTGTGATGAGATGACACACTGATAAACAAATCAACAGACACCGAAAGTGTTGCAGCCCCCAGCACAAGAACAGGCGCACTAATTGTATCCAAAATGAATAATTCAAAGTGAGAGAAGAAATGATGCTGCGCTGCATTAATAAAGGATCTGCAGTAAAAAGGCTTACCATAAACTGACACAGGGAATTAATAATAGCAGTGTGAGAGCTTGATGAGGAGTTGAAACAGCAGGATTACAGGTTCACGCCTTTGTGATTACATCAGGTGGGGGTAAGACTCAAAGCAGGGCTTTACAGGGGAGTTGTGCTGGAGCAGAAGAATACTTTACGTTCAAGGTCACTAAGGATGAATGTACAAATACAGCTGAGCTCAATTCTTCATACCATATGACAGTCTGAGAGGACTTTGCTGGAGTGTAACCTGCCATCCAACATGAAAGTGTGTCTAAGCCCATAAAAGTTTAACTACTGTGTGGCTCTTCTTCCTCATCTCTGTCAGAAAATGTGAGATCTGCCTTCCAGCACATACAAAGGAGGTGAAAGATCCACAAGACGGGCGGAAGTCTTTTTCAATTATATGAGCTGGATGTGGCAACAGGGGGGCCGCTAGAATATTCAATCTGGTCTCAGGCCAAACAAAACAAAGGAGGAAGCAGCACCAGAGCAAAGAACAGCCACCCAGAGAAATAGTAGATCTCTCAGTGCACACATTATTCCTACCTGGGTGAATGCACAGTCAGCCCGCTAAACCATAGTTGCAAAGCAACGCAATTAACCGTCGACCCCTACTTAAAAAAAAAAAAAAACCTGCTGTGATTCATTTCAGCTCTGACAGTGTGCACTTCTTCACCTCCAATAACCCAAACGAAGATATATGTGAGCCACAATGTCAGGAAATTTATCCTGGTTAAAAGATTAACGTCCTGGCGTTTGACTGGGAGAGGGAAGGCAGAATTTGCTGAATTGAGGGAGGTTATTTTGTGTCAGCTGCTCGGCAAAGTGAAGGCACTAAAAAGAGGAAAACCTATCATGCAGTGGCAGTATAAATGATGAAGGAGTTTAAGAATATTACTTAAAACTGTGTGAAACTGAGGGACTGACAGCAGCCACATTTTTATACATTTGATGAGGAGGCATTAGTCAAAGTCTCAGCAGGAGCTGGTGAAGACCTCTCTCTAGAATCAGATCTCAGTTTATCATAATCATTTGATGTAAAAGCTGCCAGAAGGAAGAGTTTGTCCAACAGAAGATTGGCTGAATACCAGACGACTGGTGTAGAAGGGCGCTGCAATCAACCATTTCAAGTCTGGGAAGAATAAAAAACCTCTAGCATGACAGAGGGGCAAAAGTAGTGCTTAGCTTTATCAATAATACTCAGCTTGACTCTGAAGCTCATAAAGCCAGAAAGACACGCTGTATCTCTTTGAAGAAGACACACTCAGGCTGCACCCACAGTGTGTCAGCTTGAGGTGGGGCACTGTAAGCAAAGGTGACAGGTGTGGGAGGCTCTACCCGCCAGCTAAATGCACATGATGTTTTTCAACATATGCATTTTAATCAGTATTCTGCTCTCTGGCTCTAATCAAGGATTAAAAATGTTTTGAGTAAGTCCCATTTAGCAAAGGCCAGCTAACCTTTCCTGAAAGTTTTGATAAATAGCAGCAACCAAGCTCGAGTATTACTTCCTATGAGTTATTACCACCGCAAAGAGACAAGCAATAAGACACTCAGCTCACTCTGTTAATCAGAAAATCCATTTAACTATTGATTGAACATCCAGCACATCCATTATTAAATCAATCATTTGTGTTAATTGCCTCTGCTGGGGATTTATTGTGCAGTGAGGTTAGTAAAAATGACAATCACAGGCACTTCACCACACGGAAGTCAAACACATCACATAAGACACATTATATTCAACATAAACACACAATCATTGAGATTTACTGTTAAGCTATAGTTTCTGTTTGTGTGCAGGGTTGTACTCAAGTCTTTGTGAAGACAAGTTTGGCAGAGTTTTAGACCCCTGAGAGGGAGGACAGTGTTTGGAAGAAGGACGTGTGTCCCGAATCCTTTGTATGAGGGTGAAGACTATATTTGCAGAAACATACTTGGAGGGCTTGTTGGTGAGTTGACAGGTAACCAGCAGAGATTTCACAATGTCACTGCTCCAGATCAAGTCAATAAATAAGTTTATTTGGTATAGCATATTTCACAAAGCAGAGTCACAAAGTGCTTTGCAAAATAGCAATGATAGTAAAAACAACAATAAAGAGAAGAATAAATACAAACCAATTTAAAATAACAATGGTAACAAATATAACACTATCAGGAAATAATTAGCAGATGGTCAAAAGCCAGTGTAAACAGATGTGTCTTGAGCTGCTTTTTAAAAACATCAGAGGAGACAGTGCTGCATATTTGAAGAGGCAGACAGTCCCAGAGAGTCAGGGCTACAAGTTCAAAGGCAAGACCTCCTTTGGTTTTCAGTCTGGCACAGGGAACAGCACGTAGACCCTGGTCAGAGGACCTGAGGGATCTGCCAGTGATGTAAGGGTGGAGCAGCTCAGATCTACACACTGGAGCTTGATTATAAATGACTTTACAAGTTAACACAAGGATCCTGAAATTAATTCTGAATTTAACTGGCAACCTATGCAAGAAAATTAAAAAAGGGGTGATGTGGGTTGTCCTGCTGGATCTGGTTAACAGTCTTGCAGCAGTATTTGAAGATGGCGAAGAGAGATTTATTGAGACGTGTGAAGAGGGAATTACAATAGTCAAGCTGGTATGAAACAAAAGCATGGACCGACATTTCTAATTCTGTTTGTGAAACCATGAGCCTGGGTTTTAAGATCTTTCTCAGCATGAATGAGTTAAAGATGTGATGCAACTATTGAAGATAATTCTGTGATCAAAAATAGTGCCAAGGTTTTTGACATATGTCTTCAAAGAGGTAGAGAGGGAGCCTAAAGCAAAAGTGAGTCTAGTTGCAATGTTGTTAAAGGCAAAGACAAGACTTTTTGTTCTGGCTTAAAAGAAACATATAACTGAGTGTCATCAGCATAACGGTGGTTGATTAAATTACTTGGCCTAGAGGGATAATGTATAAAAGTGGCCCCTACACCGTACCCTGAGGCACGCCACGGGACAAAGTAGCTGACTCTGACCTGTAGGCTCCAAGTGATACAGAAAAATGTCTGTCTGGGACACATCACTAAATGAGCTTTAGAAATGCTGGTGGTCAGGAGAAGAGGGAGTGAAAGACCAAAGACTCTGCATACTTACAGCAGATATGCCAGCTAGTTTAGAGATCTATATTCTACCTCTTCTTGAATAGTTGGCTTTAGCTTTATATTTGGTTGTTCTTCAGACAGAAGAACAGGACTGTTTGATGCCTGCAGTAGTCTCTCCAGCTCCAAATTTTTACCAGCATCTGGCACTCATGCTTTCTTCTTCTTCTGTTATTTCTTGTGTATGAAAAACAGCTTTAAGATGATGACAGCTGCTATCCAGCATTTGTATAACATTACAACCAGGGACTGCTAAAAACAATTGAAAAAATCTTATATTTTAAGATGAGATAGTAGTCATGAAGATTGATGTCTTAATATCAAAGGAATATCTAAAGTTTAAAAACCATAACCCATCCCAAGCTGATGGGCACTACATTTTATCCGTGAGCAGAGAATGGCTAGCTGTTTTTAAGCATCTTCTGGCTCTCAGTCTTCGATACTGACACAAGAGTGGTACAGCATAAAGCAAAAAAGTGACTCGCCAAAATAGTGCTATAACTTTAGACTTGGTTTTAAGGTCAAGCTTTTAATGAGTTGTGTTGGGGTGATACATTGTACGTACCAGAGACAGTCCAACCAGGTATATCAGGTCAGCAACTACAGGCAAAGTGCTGCTTTGCCATTTGATTGTAAGAAAGTTGTTGTTTTTTTTTCTCATTCATTTCTTAAATTCATGTTATCCACCTGTGTTGTAAGGTTGAAACCTCTAAGAATATAACCGTAACCTTTGCATCGTGTAGGCAAGTGTTTTCAGTTCTTGAATCCGTGGTGTCGCACCACAGAACAGCAAGGTCGCTCCAGTCAATAAACACAGCGATCCTGTTCAATCAAACAAGATCTGAGAGCAAAAAAACTATCTCTCTGCTGTTAGGCAGCGTGAATGTAAAGTATTGATCGTGTTTATTTCTGACTCTGCTCACTTCAATATATTGCTACATGTTCAAGATGGAGCTCGATCAAAAGGAGTGAATTAATTTTTCGGTCAACCATTCCCCATGGAGATGTAATGCAAGTACCATATTCTCTGTATGCCTGACCATTGAGAGTACAGTGGTGAAATAATAATCCCAGAAGGACCCTTTGTCTTGCCACAATCTGTGCCTTCCTCTGCTTTATCTGGCTCTCCGGCCTAATTAAAGCCAAGTGGTGAACAGCCAGAGGGGCTGTCTCACAGAGGTAAACCTTTATCGATACAAGAAGCTGTCACCTTAATCAGCCCATCAGTCACACTGAACACAGTGCTGACCAGCGTATGAACATTCACAGGGTCAATCAATGTCAATGATTGGCACTCAAAGCATTTACCTTGAGATAAGGGAAGGGGGGTGGGGGATGTTGGGGTGTAAACAAAGTTTGAGCTGTCATGAAGAGGAGGCAGACTGATGGAGTTTTGTTGACATAATTATGGCTGTGATCACTTACCTCTCTCCACTGTTTGCACTCCACACCCTGTGTGTACAACACCACCACTGCGAAGAGAGAACAGAGAAAGCACGGGAATGCATCATTACTAGACCACCTCAATCAAGCAGCCTGCTTCTTTAAATGTTGTTTGTTTTGTTCCTCCTTTGCTGACATTTACCATCAATTATCCTTCCCGCCTTGACAGCAGAGTGAAAAGCCTGGCAAGATGATGTTGTGCTACATCAAATTCTGGGCATGATGTCTGCACCGGGAAGAAAAAAGCTCCAAAGCAGAACTGAGGATTTATGGTGCACTATTTAAGCCGTGCAATCAAAACACAATTTCTTGACCGTGAGATTCTCCTGTTCCCTTTTTGATTTTAAATGAAGCAGAGGCAGGCGGACGGGGAGACATGACCTGTCATATATCCAGAGCTTTATCTTCAGACAGACACCAAACAGGGCCAGTGTGATATTTTCCTAGTAGCCTATTTACACAAAAGGCTTGAACCCACTCTGTATTTTTTTCAAGTCTTCTCCGAGCTCTTTTCTTCAGGAAGCATCAAAGGAAACACCTTTATGGTATTCCCAGTGTGTCTCACCCATTGGTATTCAAAGGCTGGTTTGTGCACCCTGCCATTAAGGAACTTTCTGTTGCTCTTTGTCACATTACTGTGCAAATGATATGCAGTTATTGAAGGGACACTTTGAAAATGCAGAGCAAACTGAATCAAAGCTAAGCTCAGCAAAAGTGAGAAATAAGGGCCTGTGTCTACTAATAGGTAGCTGGTAGCACCTTTTTTTCCAAGATAAACAAAAGCAGATTAGTGTTTTCAGCCTCCAAGGTGCAAAAATCGGCACCAGCATCAGCTTTTTTTTTGTAAGTGAACACACAGCACTCTTACTTCGCCAACTATAATGGTTGGGTCTAGACAGAGGAGAAACTAACCACATCCATTTTTGGAGGGTAAAACTTTCAGGGCTGAAGTGGCTGCTTATGTTTGAGAATGATGCCCATCTTATTTATCTAAAATGCCAATACTGGACACAGGCCCCAGAGCTTCACAAGAGGACAGGAGGTGTCTGTGACGTGTAAGAAGAGCTGACTTATAACCAGCACCAGAGAAAATAAAAAAGCTGTGGACTTACATGGATCAGATTTGGAGAAAGTGTCTCTGTCCAAGAGGTTCCTGTAACAAAATGAAACAAATGTAAGTTAAAACCAAAGACTAGTAAGTTTTCCTGTTGGTTTAATAAACTTCACTGTAAAGAAGTGTTGTGTAACTGTTGGGATGCCTTATTTTATTTCATATTCTTGTGAAAGCTTCTTTTCTGAACATCTCATGCAAAAGACCTAAAAGATAATGACATAGAAATTCACAGCTACACAGAGCTTTAACTAAAAGCAGTGTCCTTGAGTTTTTGTTTCCCATGTGCAATAAAATTAGCACATTAAAGTTCAGTGAAAGGATAGAGAGGACCTGGAGGCAGAGCTGCCCATTAAAAACAGGCACCATCCCAAAATGTGCAGATATACCTTCACCAAGGCTGTATATTCACTGCATTTTCTTTCTGGGCAATAAGAGGGGAGGTTGCATCTTTGCTCATAACAGTAAAAAGCAATCACAGAAAAGACAACCATGACATGCACATACCACATGTTTTATTTATTGTCTCTTCTGTTGTTTTTGTCCCAGCTTGGATCAAAAATGAAGCTTTGTAGAAAGAATCCTAAAAACTGCAATCATATTTGATCACTGTGTCCTGATTTATCACCAATTTTATGACAAATTTTGACCATTTTTTCCCAGAAAAACAGCTTGACAATAAATTGGACAAACAATAAGTGCAAAACACATATAATTTTCTATAATTTTAGCCCCAAAACATCATAATGTTGCAGATTGGTTGCTACTTCCTCTCCCTTCAAAGTATATTAGGATCAGGGGGTTTATTTTGAAAGTACTTTCAGATAGGTGCCTTTTAGGACTGAATGGAGGATATTCAGTTTTCGTAATCTGAGGATAACAACACTGTGGAAAGTGTGACATTTAACACATCGAGCTCTATCACAGCTTAGCAGTGCTGCAGAGTGAGGAGGTGAAGAGTCATGCTGTTTGACTCTGTCCTCAGGGCAGGACGCAACAAGCTACACCACCGAGCGCATACACTATGAGATTATACCACTTTACCACTCTCAACAATATGTTTCTCTGTTTTTCTGAACAGGTTTATATTCAGCCAGGGGCCAGGTTGAAACACATCTCTTGAAACATCCTTGAGTCACTGAGAGAGTGTTACATATGTGCATATATCTGATCTAATCAAACACTGCACAGCTACAGCCCCATGAGGATGCATGTCACACCAATTAGACTAGTTCCCATTCAGCCACAGAAACCACAGTCAAGAATCAGGCTACTACTGCATATCGGGAAGCCTACAATCATGCAAACCTTTAAATAATCACAGCATTACCCACTGGAGAGAGCTACCCAGCATTCTCACAGTGATGATCATCAAACACCTTTTCAAGCCGCGCAGCTCTCTGATTGGCCCATTGACTCATTCCAGATGCAATCAGCATTAATATTATTCATTCCAGCATTATTTTTAGCCACACGGGCTTGACTTTATGTGTTTTTCTGGGAGACAGAGGGATTTCTAAGCTCCCTCGTGACTCGTTTACTTATTGTGCTGGTGCTGTACCAGATCCACAAAAGCAAGATTTAACCTTTAAAACAGATGCGGGTGCTACAAATGGAGTCAACCATCAATCACTTCATTCAATATTTTAGATGAGAGACATTTTCAAGATGGTTACAATGGTCCCATATGCATATCAGTTTAATGCTGAAACCTATAAATATGTCTTTTTCTTGCTCCCTGACTGTGAGCAGAGTCGATAAATAACTAGCTTGCAGTTCAGAACAATCCCTGTCCCTGTAGGGCACCACAGGATTTCAATGAATATAGATGAGATTTCAGGGCTGAATCCAAGCAAAGGGGTGTCATTCATGTACACCTAATTCAGCATTCCTGGACACAAAATCCTCTGTCACAGAGATATGTGAGGAGGTAAGAAATGCAGCTTTGTTTGGTATTAGCCCTGGGCTGACCCGTCTACAATTAGAACACTGTCTATGTAATTATCAGTAGAGATAACACAGTCATCCATGACTAACAGCCTCTTTGTGTTCACCTGTTACTCTTCAGCATCCATGATACTTCAACAATTAGCTTGTCCATCATCCTATTCACTTTCTCACACTAGAGGAGAAAGTACAACACAAAAACCACTGCTTCCTGTATCTTTTATGTTTGACTTCTACTCCTAAAAGCAAGTCTGGATTGGCTGAAACTCACTTTTCTGTTTTGGGAAGAATTGATGAGTTTTTTCCAAGAGGGATCCACTGTGTGCGTGTGTGTGTGTTGGCAGTGTGTGATCGGCATTATCATGGGGAACAGGAAAACAAGCGCAGGTGCAACAAGCTGATGAGAATCTCGGGTATGGATATTTTGAGCATTTCAGAGGAGAATAACATGCTTGGAATTTGCAAAACATGTGCAGCAAGGAATTTTGGGTGGAGGACATAGTCTTAAAGGTCTAACACAACAGTCTCTAGGTGCTAAGAAACCATATTCCCACAGCACTCATCTCCTTACACCATGCTCAGAGTGGGAAAAGTCATATTGTTATCATTGTATTCCAGGTCGTAAATTGCATAAACCTCAATAATCTGATTTATTCAAAGAAAATCCCTGGTACACAAATAAGATTCCTCATCCCTCAATTTGCTCAAGCTTATGATTGGGAAGGTTGGACCACAGGCGTTATGATTAAAGGGGTAGTGTCATGCTTTCCATATTTACAACAAAACATGCAAAGTTACAAGGTTTGGTGTTCATACTAGATGTATGCAAATGTATGCAAATCACGACATAAACATATGTTGTCATAATCTTAGAAAACAGATGTTAACTGATCAAAACAGTTCATTGAGAGTTCACTCAATACCTTAATAAGACTCACTAATGATGTCATCACAATAGGCTCTCTTTACCAGTTCATCTATCAATAGCCTGAATAGCCTGCCTCCTACAACATGTGGACCAAGATAACACTGCTCTGCTGCTCTACTGATTAACTACAGGGCCCAAAACATCGGGAACGAACCACCAGAAAGCCTTTGGAGGGGTGGCCAATCAGAAGAAAGTAGGTACGTGAAGAGAACCTTAAAGAGACAGCAGCTAAAACAAAGCATTTCAGATGATAAAATGGTAGTTGAATAAACCAGAGTGAAAAACACAAACCTTTTTTTAATCTTACAATCATGTGAAGCAATTAAAGAGGTACCAGAAAGGAAGTATAGAGTCTGAAAAATATGCATAATACCCGCTCTTTGAGGAGTGACCCTGTCTACTGGAGGTGGTTGTAGTTAGAGGATAAAAATCACCACTCAGAAGGGTCACCTATTGAACCAAAACATATCCACCCATATGGTACTTTAAACACAGAATTGCTGGCGAGTTAATATGAGTAGAGACATCCACTAACATAAATATTGGCACTCTTGAAAAATACATTCATTATCTTTACCACTTTTTCCCATTTGGTGTCATGAGGCTTGAGCTTCTCTGAGCTGTGATTGGGCAAGAAGTGGGTTACAACCTGGACTTCTGAGACATCCATCCATAAATTAATCATTTCACTCATGCGAATGTTTCTGTTCTTCCATTGTGATGGGAAGTGGCTGAAAGGTAATGTAGGTTGTGTTATGATGTTAGCTAATGGGTCGTCAAATGTGTGTCTTTAACTTCAAAAATGGACCAATTTGTGGCTGTTTTTGAATGTATGAGAATGAAAGGTTTTATCTAAATAATGGTTCATATGATTTATGAGATTGAACACAGTCATAATACAGTACACCATATTATTATAAAAGTTTCCCACTCTGAGCATGAAGAAGGCCACCGTTTCACCACGACCATGTTGAATATGGTCAATTAAACAGGCATTTGAAAAGCGTTGAACGTTAACCAGGGGCAATGGTGCTTTAATGGCTTAGCCACTTAATTTACAGTACCATATGAGCATTTTTTGCTCAAGAGCAAGAGCAGTTTACGGCATGTCTCGAACAGTACTGGTGACATAAGTTCGGCTGAGGATATCTGGACTTTTGACATAAGTCCAGTGAGTACTCTTAGTTTGACAGCCCCGCGGCTGGGTGAGGATTTTCACATAAAAATGAAACCATTGCTTTTGCAGGAGCGCTGCAAGAAATGAATAAATGACAATCGAAAAGTCAAAAGTGTGAAATGTTTGTATGTTTAAGAGAGAGATTTTAGTTAGAAATGGAAAGTCAAGTACATAAATATGCATCTTTGCTCTCTGAAATCTTAGCCCTTTTCACCCTCAGGTGTACATAATCTGAATGTTTTAACATATAAAATGCAGAACATTCTGTGTCGGTCATCTCAAGCAAACCTTTATTGTTTACCAGCACTTAGATATTAGATATTGTGCATAAACTAAATCAAAATACACCAAAATCTCACAGTGCATATAGCCAGTGAACACAGTACAATGTCACACATCCAAAAGAATTGTCTGCCTTCACTGAAGTGACTGTTAAGTAAGATACTCTCTTCACATGTCAAATCTCAGTGGGATAACAGAAGATCATTACCCTGGAAAAGAGTGTAGTCAAAGTTTCATTGAAAGTAGGGCAAAAGTAATCAGAGCGAGATGCTTTTTAAACCAAAGTTTTACACACTTGTTTCATGCTCCAGCACTGTCACCATGCCTGTGTTACTTGAAAGTCATTAATAAAAAATAAGAAAGAAATCTGTTTCCTTATTCCTCTTGATCTACCACCTTCAGTAAAACTCTGATACAATCTGCTCTTATGAATGGTGCATTTAATATTAGACCCCATTGAAGGGCACGCTCTAAGGCACAATATGTAATCTAAAACAAACAAAACAAGAATTAAAATTTCATCTAATTTGGGAAATCAAGGCAAATAAATTAACAGCTTTCTTTCTCTGTGTAATCATCTAAACAGAGCAATAATGAAGAAGTTTATTCATCAAGGAATTACACTTGGTGAAATTGGTTGTGCACACTCATATCAGTAAAACAGTGCCAGGAAAATCAGCAAGTGAATTATTACCCTGCCGAAGCATGTGCTCTAAAAAGGAACAATTTCTGGCTTTGAAAGTGTGTCAAAGACTCATTTAGCCTGGCTAAAATGTTGATAAATGTTTCCACTAAAGCGAAGTGTGACCTCTAACAGGCTGGCTGCCACACTCCTGTTTAAAAGAACATGTTAGGAGTACGAGCTGCCACTGGCTCTGCTCCCTGGAGTTATTTTAGCAGCTCCCCGGTCCATGTGGCTGATCATTAAACTCAGAAATGTGGGCATTAATTCCTGCACCCGCAGAGCCTTATTGTCAGACAGCCCCTTAATTCTCCTCTACTTTCTTAGAGTTGTCGAAATCATAATTGGCACCTTGGAGAAACAGCATCTAATTCAGCTGCAAGGGGTGGTTGAGATAGTCTTGAAGCATGCTGGCCAATTCCAGTATGAGCTGCCGCCTCATTGGTTCTTAAAAGGACACGGCAAATGCGAGCTTGAAAGTCAAGTTCCCGACTGGGTTAGAGGAAGGAAAGTCTCTATATTACATTATAGACAGTGGGGGGGCCGCTGTAGGGAGAGAGTGAAGGATGTTTTAAATTTTCAAGGCTACTATGTCACTTTACTTCCTCCTCTCCTCCCTCCTATGGCCTCTTGTCTTTTGACTGAGGGCAGACATTTTCTTTCCACTCACACACCGAGGGGTCAGCAGGGCTACGGTTTGTCTAAGATGCCCTCAAGCAGCTTTTCAGGGGTCAAAGAGAGAGGGAAACAAACAGAGAAGATATATGCAGCCTGCGTTCAGGTCTGCTGACTCTTTACAGACCGGAAGAATCCTATTATTTACATTGTAAAATTCATTACCCCTGAGGGGATGTTTTATGATTCATGAAAAACTCTGTTACGTACATGCACCATACAAGAGAGCTCATCTGGTACATGCTCTCAAGAAGCAACATTGATCCATCCAATTTTTAAAACAATTATCAAAAAAATCTTTCTTTATTGCGTAGCTGAGCGCCTAGAAGATGGCGTCAAGTTATGTTGCTCACGTCCTTATCTCATAAACTAATCCATTATATTCAACGTGCAAAATGCTACTTAATCCCTTTATTTGTTACATGTGAACACGTCTGATGACCTTCACAGTGTTGGCACCAGGTGTCTTCTCCTCATCCATCTGTTTAATTATTCAGTTTCTGTTCAACCTGGGATCTCTCCAGGCCCCTAGTACCTGCAGCAGAGCACTCCCCAGGCAACCGTCTCGCGGGCACTGACAGAATTTCAGTCATAAAACTGCTCTTGTGGTTGTAATAATAAATGAGGATGGAGATAGGCTTGAGCTTTCTGTTTCAGATCAGCTTTTGGTGTGTGACTAACATCCCACAAGGGAATAACTCCACTGCTAATTGCTTGATGTAACAGCTCGAGGTTTGTGCGGAGGGGGGTGTTTTTCTCTCAAGAGGAGCTGAGGAAGTTAAATCCTCTGATAGTTTACAGTATGGCTGGAGCACTTTGCACTCTGCCATCTGTAAATTCACGCCAATGAAAAACCCATGCTGCACATATCTCCACAGATATAAGCCAACAATGCACTTCACAGACTGTAGATAGAGAGTATTTTATTTTGTACACTGGAAAACAAATCAAGCTTAGAAAGATCAATTCAAAATCCATAGATACTGCAGCTTTGAACTGACAATAACTGATCATTAAATGGGGACAGAAAAGTGTGAATTCAGTCATGTGCAGAGAGGAGCTATAAGAGGCAGAGAGGGAGAGAAGATCAATCTCAGTGGAAAACCTCATCAAAAAACATATCAAATTCACAGAAAATACCACGCTAATTGATGTGAGAAGGAAGTATGATTATGGATGGAGTAGAAAAAGGAGCTTTCTAATTGGAGGCTGGCTCATGTTGTGTCCCAATAGGAGGCAGCAGAAATCAGCTGGATAGTTGTGTAGTAAAATTAACTACAAGAGACCAACTTGAACTGTAAATCTGATTATCTTATAAACATGCTTACTAATCATGCTGGACTGTGAATATCAGGGATGTGCCAAACAAAGGGTGGTCAGCTACATTATGTTGCCCTTGAAGTACCTTTGCTTTGCTGAAACAATTCCTCAAGCACCTTGATTATAAAAAATGATTGAGGAATTTTCTCTACCTTGAGTACTTATTTATAAAATTAAAATCATCACTGTTTCGCAAAGATTATTAAGGTGACACAACGCGCTTATGTCACCATGGTAGACGGAGGAGTAAGCGCGGTTTTGGAGGAAAAAAATTAACGATGAGAGGGGCCTTTCTTCGACAGCGCTCCAGGGGCTCATTAGCAATTCACCTCTGAGTCATGGGCGGAGACAGCGCTGCTCTGCACACTCCTCTTAATGCTAGCTTGCAGTCTAACAATGCCAGTGTAGTAGAAGAAGTAGGTAACATAGGAGCTATTCAGCTCTCGGACACTAATGTCTTTAGGAACATGATGAAAGTTAATATCATAATTAGCATTGCAATCTGCTTACACACACACTTGTTCCACGATTGTTCAGCGATAATTGCACTTTAACTAAAATATACGTTTTATCCGATTACTCTATTAATCGATGGAATATTCGGTATAAAACTCAATTACTAAAAAATTTGATAGCAGCAGCCCTAAAATAAATTATAAATATTTTTATTACTGTATGTACGAAATGCTGGGTCTAAGAGTATCCTCTTGCCAGAGCAGTAGTTCCAGTTTTGGCCACTGCCATAGCACAACAATGCTCTCCCACCTGGAAGTAAACAAGCACAGATGTCATGGCGGTATTTTGATCTAGATACATATGGTTAATGTGAGTAGAGTAAGCGCCACTAGGCCTTGGTTCTCTTAAGTTAACATCCACATGCCTGTGCTGGTTACACCTTGTCCTAATCAGACTATTATTTGTCAGTTTGACTCGACACAGAGACAAAACTACAAAACCACAATGCATTATGAGTTGCAATCTGTCATGCTTGTTTAGATAGATATTAATAGTTTGTTTCAAGGCCTTGTAAACGTAGTGCCAACTGAGGGTGACGACATTTAAATGTTTAGTTGATATCTCTAATTGAGGTCGATAACAGCAGCATTTATAGTCCAGTCTCCTAAGCCCAGATTGATGAACTGCTTATCTAAAAATGTACCAGTTCCTCTCCAGGGATGTAAGTAAACCTCTTTGCACATCTAAGTGAGGGGGTGTTATGGATCACAACATTTCTCAAAGGGCTTTAAAGGAGACACCACATATCTCATAAACCTCTTCAATTCAAGCAAGCCAGCTGAATTTTTGAGCAAACATCAACAAGAAACTGAAGTTCTCTTCAAGGCAGTTTGAAGAGCCGTCCACTTTTACATTGTTCCAACCAATCACTATTTCACAGATTTAGGAGTAGATTTCATTTTCTCTCCTCTTTCACTCTTACTATTTTGTATCTGAAGTGTTACATGACAATGATAGTGGGCACAAACATAACCCTCCAGTCCATGCAGGGGTCTATAAATCTGCCACCAGCTTTGCGTGTCTTCTTGGCACACAAACATGAACTGTTTCAGATGTTGTCCAGCTTGTATGGGTCAACAGACGCCATTTATGAAGCACAAAAGAGGCTCATTTGGTGCTGTGGTCTCTGTGACATTTCCAAAAAGTGCAGCACCAAACTCACCTGATCTGCCAGGATGTCTGTTATGTAAGGCTTTTGACAAGTTAATGCCATTTATAAAGGCCACACCAATTACTTTTCTCACCTTTTTAGTGATGTTGTTTCTGCACAAACAAGCTGTTTTCTGTGATCTGGGATCCACATACCAACAGATCCCTTTCAATTACTCACTTTTTCATATTTCTTTATCAAGTTGTGCTCCTTCTGCTGGTTTCAGGTTGGCCCTGCTTCATCAGAAACACTCATCTATTTTATGGCATTTGTTATCTACCATAGAAAAGGAAATTTACTCACATAAAACTTGATTAACTGATAACTTTGACACTGTTTCGTAGCCAGTTGTTTAATTCACCTTAAACAGCTCACATATTTTGACTGACAATCTGTTTCCCTACAGTCAAAATAAACTGTGTGCATGTACAGAAACTCCAAACACACACAAAATCTCACCAACAGTGAAAAACTGTCCTTTTGGCGACATTTTCCAGTTTCATTTATCTTACAGAAACATTTCTAGTTCAGATAAGACAATGTGCTGACAATAAGTAGCTTGTCAAGGCCAAAGGCTATAACGTCAACAAGTGAGAGCCCTTCAACACACTGTGCACAATTGATGAGATTTCTACCAAACAACCTGTCACACCTTTTATAAATCTGCCACCAGCTTTCACATTTCCTGAACAAACTGTGACATCAGGTCAAATATCTCCTGACACAGAAATAGGATAACATACCTCGCTGACCCTCAAGGTTCTCTGAAAATAGTGACAAAGGCAGCTTGATACTGGTGATCCCCGAGGGACTGCTTTGATTTCTAATAGCTGCACCACACTCATGACTTTTCCTGTCTTTCCAATCAACACTTTCAGATGGCACAGGCAACATGCAGAGTGTTATAATCCACCAACATGGCACCACAACTGTGTTTCCATGGGATCTCCCTCTGCTGCCATGGATCCCAAATGAATATATATTAATAACACCGACATCACCACAAGCCAAGTTCCTGCGATCCAAACTCATTTTCACTGTGTCAGGGGTTCATGCATAATTATCTGCTTCGTCGACCTGTGAGACTCTGCTCCTGCAATCTTAACATCCCCAAAATTGGGGGAAATAAAACGAGAATGTGCCTCCTCTTGGCACCCCTGTGTCTCTCAGCCTTGATTCCCAAAACAGATGCGACACATCACTCACACACACAAGCCATCCTGTGAGATAAAAGCTGCAAGCTCGCCCCAGGTCAGTCTTAACCCAGAACAAGATAGGAAAAGAGCTTCGCAGAAGAAACACAGCAAATTGAAATTTCTCTCTCACTCCAGAGATCTTTTATGAATATTTCATGCTCTTGCACAATGCAAACTAGTTCCAATTTCAACTCTCCCAGCACAAAACAAAAGGATGTTAAAACTTTGGGTCACAGGATTTGATGAAATGAGTAACAAAGACTGACTGACATCAGTAGCTAAAACTGCTATTAACACTACAACAACAGCTGAGCCAAAGTATGAACACCAAATCTGAAGGAAGAAGAAGTCGTTGCACAGCTTGAATCTAAATTGCCCTGCTCAAGCAATAGTTTTTGACAGATCAAGCAGCGCTGCCACACATCCTAATCGTCCTGATGATTTCATTAGGCCTCCCCCCTCGGCTGCAGTGATTGCTTCAGGAAGAGCTCAGATCGAGAAGCATGCCTCAGGTTTTCAGAGTGACCCTGGGGAACAGCAATCAGGGGCCTCATTCACCCGGGGATCCTCTCCGGCAAGTATTTGTCACAGCACACTGGCAGTCACGTGACGTCTTGTGATTTTCACCAGGGAATGAATCCCTCAGGAGTGGAGGAACCTGGTGGCATTAGATCCCCTAGCTATGGAATGCATTGATTGGATACAGTGCTACTCTAACCAATCTATCACAGCAGATGAATGGTTGCAGAGAGCTTCTGGAGGAGGTGAGATGCACTAAATTCGTCCTGGTGAAATGGGGGCAATGGGGTCTGATAAAGTTTCCATGTTCAAGCTGTCAGGTGGGAGGCTGATCGCAGCTGAAAGGAGGGTGGCTTTGTCAGCCAAATTCACTCTCAACAACAGTCCTGTGGTGTGTTTTGACGCCTTGCAAAGTCCCAATAAATTTATATAATGTGCTTTCTGCTGTTTCGTTATCAAGTGGGAGTAAAATGAAATCCAATCTGCGTCCTTGTGCGTGCCTTCGTGGGGAAACTGTGTAAATCATGCTCTCACAATGAAACAAATCTGGGCTTATCATTAAATCCCTCTTTTATTTTCTTCCCCTTCACTCTGCTCGGGATGGTAAGTATCTAACAAATGAGATGCCGAAATCTAATCTTTCAAGAATAATGTCTTCTTTTTCCTTTGTTCTGTTCAGATAAGGGTTGTATACTTTTATCAGGGTTGTCAAACTTATCAAAGACACTTCCCCATTCTGAGGCACACACAATAAACAATGTCTTCGCAAATTGTTGTTTGCATCCTGTTCATGGATCTGCCATGAGAAATATAGTAAAAACAATCCATCCATTGATTTTAGATCCCCATGCCTACAGGGAGTGGGCAGTTTTTGTCAGTGTGCACACTCATTAGAGGAAGTGTTTTTCAGCCGAACTGAAGCTCATGTTTCCCTGAAATCGTTCTGCATGTGAACAGTGAAACGCTCTGAGATGCAGAGATATAGAAAGGGCACATTATACAATCCAGCAGGATTTACATTTAACACTTAATTTATAATTTAAGTTCAATGTAGCAAACCACATAACTTATGAAATATTCATAAGGGCAGCTTAAATATTAATTAATGTACACTCTTCATTAGTGCTGTAGAGGGACTAGAGTCATGGCCCACCATGGGACCACTGGTCCTAACCCACTGAACTGTATTCACAAGCATGCTCTGTTGTGACAGATGCTGGCATTCAGAGGCCACTTCAGCTCCAAATCTCAGTGTTGGATATGAGTGTAGCCCTCACAGTTTAAAGGCAGAAACACTGAAAACAGATCACTGGCAGACCTGCGATTTCAACCAATCAGAGCCAAGAATGGAGAACGTTGGACTATCACAGCGATGTGTATCTGTTTCCATCCACAGTTGTCTGCTTCAGTCGCTCCTGTTTGTCAGGGAGCTCCCTGCAATATTGGCACTAGGTTATGAGAATGCCTGTAGGGCAGCATGGCGCATTTCAATTCCATGTGCGCCGCAACCTCAGAGCTTTCAGGCTTACCAAATCAATTACACAGAGTTGTGGAGCTTGTGGCTGCCACAGTGTAACACCCGTTGTTTCTTCTTGCTTAGACTGGATGCTCCAAATCCACAACTGTTGATCAGTGAGAGAAACTGCTCCATGCTTGGTTGTTTATTTCTTGTGTGTGCGGCTTTCCAGCTGTCCAGATTTTGATCTTTGGTGCAGTTTACAGAGGTCAGACACGGGCCACTGTAGCAATTTCTGCAGACAATCTTTCAAGGTCTGCAGAAAGGAGGAATGTATTTTTCTTTTCTATCAAACTGTGTCCTGGAGCAATTCATTGTTTGGAGAGACATTAATGACAGACAAGAGAGCTGCAGATTGACACAGCCTGGGGGCATCCACACAGAGCACGGCTAAAAGTTTGAAGGTCTGATGGGGGAAAAAAACATAATTGTGTGTGCACAAAAAGGAAATCACATAAGCCCATTTGCCTCTCACTTTAAATACCCCTCAATATATCAGACACAGATAATGGAAAGTCCATATGCCAGCCTTTTAAGCCTGCACCTCTCACACAGAGAGTATACAGACTGCAGCTAAATAAAAGCAACAAATGATGTCACATTACACCAGATCTGACTGTAGACCTATTTAGGGTGTGATGGTATTCATCCTCTTTAACCCAACCTTAGATAGATGCACTATCCTCTCAACCTCCTCACTCCGTAAAGGTCAGCAAATCTCTTTTGAAATGTGACAAATTAACTCATATCTTCATTTTTGGCCAAAGTGAAATGGAGTTTTTTGGAAAACTGAATCATTAAAATTGTATATCAAAGCAGTGTTTGCAACAAGAAAGACAGTCGGAGTGAAAACACCAGAAGATAGTGAAGTCAGCACTGGCAGTCTTCCCCGCCTGTGGCTTTACATTGCATTAATTTCTGAAATCTCTCTGGGATCAGTTTCAACATAAAGGCAACATGCCATTTACATAAGTATGTATTTACATACATATTACACGGATGCAGCTGGAGGCTGAGAAGAGCTAAATACTGTAGGTTATGGCAAAATGAAGCAAAGCATAAGATGCCCCGAAACCACAGATTAACACTAATTTCCAAGAGACACGTTGATTTAAACTGTATCGACCCACATAGAGGCACTTGGAGAGAATCCTGCAGCTGCATACAGTATCCAGAGACTCTACCTGCAACCAGCGCTGCCCCACCCTATCCAGCTCATCATTTGCCATCTTTATTGTATTTTGGGGGTTTGGGGGATGGGGACAGGTTTTCTGTTGAACACAATAATGAACACCGTCTGCGTAAATACTCGCTGGTATTAGTTTTTTTTTCCTCTCGTTATTCTGTCGTTTCAGAACCTGTCAAGCGGTTTACACGGCTTCACATGACATCTTGCCTCAGGGGGAAACCTCTCAGGCACGCTAACTAACTCCACGATGGTCGATACAGCCTGTGGCACGCGACCTGGCGCGCGCAAAACACAAGCAGAGCGCTGTGGACCCCGCGAGACTCTAACTGAGATATAGATTTATCGAGAAAAAGAAAAAAAAACATCAAAGCCTGCAGAGAAAAGTGCACAAACACGATCACAGAAAGATTAAAGTTTGGTCATCAACGGCTGTCTTTTCTACTTTCTGCTCTTCTTGTGTTTTTCAAGCAGATTTCTCACTTTAGGTTTCTTATTTTATCATTTTCAAAGAGGTCCTCCCGATCTATTGTTTTTTAATCGCAGAGCTTATTCTCTTTCTTCATTGGTCCATTTTTAAAGTTAATTTTATCCTTTCAAAATTTAAAAGTCCGTGCTTTATTCCCTTTGGATATGGCTAAAACCGACCCCCAGCTACGACAAAGAGTGAAGTTACACGTTAAGGTTTAAAGTTACTCAATGCAATCGACGCGCACGCGGAGATTCACATACCGTGACGCAGAGACAGCAGCATCAGCAGCACAAGATCGGACTCACCTGCACGACACGGTGATCTCCACTTTGGTTGCCGGGATACTCCCACTGATAGGGTCGAAGTCCCGGACCGTCGCCGTGGCCTCAACTTTGTCCATGACGTCTCCCTCCATGCGTGCAGGAGACCCGAGCCAGCTCCCCGGGCCGCGCGAGTCCCTCTGAACCTGGAGAACCGACGATGGAAGAGAGCCGGTGCGCAGCGGGCGTGCAAGCAAGAGCTGATACGGTCCAGAAAAACCAACTAAGTGCTGTCCATTGGGAGGGCAACAGCATGGAAAGTTTAATGGGAGGCTGCAGCAGCGGGGAAGATTGATTTGGCCAAAGTGGAAGTGGGATCACATGCCAGGACGCATCAGTGCCAACTCCGCTGCTTCCCTGCAAAGACTGAGCTCTTCTGCCAGAGCTGCGTTTGAAAAGTCAAAGCTGTGAACTCCTCCCCTCCTGTCTGCATTCTACCACATGTGAGACTGCGACTGATAGTCGTTGCAGATCCAAGCCATTGATCTGTGGCTGTACGGATCGTTATTTTGCTCCGAATAGGTGGTAAGAGCTTCTAACAATAAAATAGATTAACACCGATGATCGTGAATATAACACTTGATTGTTTCTGGAGAAATAAAGGTGTGATCTTTTGATTTAACTGAACATATTTAAAGTTAAGAGTCTGTTCTGGATTGAAAAAAGCAGACAGAGGTAAAATTATTGCCTCAAACTGACAACACATAAAATGATGAAAGTGAACTTTAACGCCAAACGCAGCGGATGACTAGTGTCTTTAGATCCGCTCCTTCAGAGCCGAGGACTGCTGTTACTAATTGAAAGGCAGCATGATGCTCTTTCAGCACCTGGATAGCTCCTCAAACTTCAGTATGGAAGGCAGTATGGAAGCCTGCGCTTTCATCATTTTCCAGATCAGATTGAGCAAACCGGTGATATGTGAAGAAACTGTACCCCTCAAACAAATAATTCATAACTAAGCTGCTATGAAGATCTCCTGGTGTGTGTGTGTGTGTGTGTGTGTGTGTGTGTGTGTGTGTGTGTGTGTGTGTGTGTGTGTGTGTGTGTGTGTGTGTGTGTGTGTGTGTACGGTCGGTGACTCCCATCTGTCACGGTGGGCAACTACTGGGAAATCTCAGAGGATGGGATCAGTGTGCAGAGTGATTGCCTCTCTCTTGCAGACACTTTTTTAAGAATCACTGTAAATCACTCTGCAGGTACCTTTCAAACATTCCCCCTTTTAACAGTGACAAAATAGCTGCCTGCCATCACATGAAAACTGCATCAAAGCCTTTCAAAATCATTGATTAAAGCAAATGTTGGAAATCATTCATTTTCTGCAAACCGATCATGTTTCATGCGCAGCTTTCATCACTCTCTTAGCATCATTTTAACAGCACACTTTGGGGGAGGTCTACTCACAGTTGTAACACACCCCTTTAGCTATAAGGCGTCACTGGGGATTGAGAAGGTGATGAGGACTGCACACTCTGGACATAGCACCACCAGAGCACAGCTTCATCATTAGTCATGTTCACTCTGTAATTAGGCCCCATGGTGCCCTTTGGTTGGTTGATTTTGAGCCTAGTGATACCATTCCCGACCGCCTGCCGTGAGACTTTCCACTGTTCCTACACGCAGCCGCCCCGCTCCCTATAGCTGAAGAAGAAGTGTAATTATGACTGTATGAGCCCTCACTGCAGGGTGTAGTGTGTGTGTGAGTGTCTGTGAGTGAGAAGTCGCACCTCCCAGACCAGCTCAGCATCAGCAGCCGTCCTCAGCACCAGCAGGGGGGCGGAGACCAGATGATCATAGTATTCAGCCTTAAGAAACAAGAGCAAAAGCTAAGGGTTAAAATGCATCAATGCGAATACTGTGCTTTGTTTTCATTGTGAACAACCATGATACCCATACAGTACAGAAGAATTCAGTACATATGTCAGATATTTGTTCATTAACATTTCTACTAACATGAAATATCAGTACAAAATGGGACTCCCTGAATTCAAAAAATAGGAAAAATATTGTCTTTGCTGAAATTCAGATGAAAAGTTGATACCACTCACATGTGCACAGCAAAAACCTGCAACAACTGGCAAGATTTATATAACTCCATCATGGTAAACCCAGAAAAGTGCTACATCAATTCATGGCTTTGTGCTCATATAACCAAATATGAGCCATACAGCTTCATATTAAGCAAACAAATCAAATTCTGATATCCCTTTGAACATATTTTTTATGAGAGATATCCATCTGTTCATTATTTTATCTCCCTTTTATGTGTCCACTGAACCAGATTTTTAACCCATGCACAATCTGTAACGACCAAAGACTGTATATTACAAAGTGTTCAGCTACCATGAAGCCAAAAGATTTAGAGCGTCTGCTGAATAGGTCACTGCCTCAGTCACGCCTAACAGATGGGATATTGGTTTAACTATAAAATTAAAATTCATATCAGATAAAAAGCTTTCCAAAATGGTTTCTGTAATAATATTTATCATGCTGATTAATGTCATGGTGTTCATTTTTCTGAAATATTTAGCTTTTATAAGTTTTTAATTCAAAGTGTTCATTACGGTGTGCTTAGATTTCTCCAAAATGATGTCTTTCTTACTCACTTTTGTATGTTTTATTCTAAAGTCAAGAGCTGGCATCCATATGTTGTATTTACCCTGCTTTACTCACACAGAGTATGAGTATGAGTTTTGCTTTGGAAACTCTCCAAAAAACGACCATAACTTGGGGTCCAAGAGTTGCAAAAGCATAATCAAAAGATAGAAATGTGGTTAACTCTCCTCATTATGGACAAAAGCAGCATGGCATGCCATGGCCTGGCATATCACAATGACCAACTCTGAGTTTTTCCTCTAAATTACTAAAAATAAAACTGGAAAACTAGATTTTTTTGCATGGAAATAATGACTAAAATAAGAAACCATCTTGCATTAAGTCATTACCACAGAAAAGACAAAATAGCTCAAATCAAATGTATGGGTTTATGTCTGCTAGAGGATTTTGTGACAGTCAGGGGTCTACAAACTAACTTACTCATTAACAAAACTTTACACAATGCCTGAATAACTTTCTGGTTGTTTCGAACCTCTGTGGGGTGTTGTGGTTTGCAGTATTCATGACCTCAGCCGATTGTTCCCCTGTTGATTCGGTCACATTGTATTCTGGTGACTAGCAATCTGACAGCTGTGTCAGGTTCATTTGGCAGGCTCGGGCTGTGTTCAGCCTCAGCGCATTCTGGGAGAGATTGGATTTAAACCACGGACTTAGTAAATGCGGCACAACATTGCATCTTTATATACAGAAAGACAAGGGATCAAGGAAATACCTGTGGGGACACAAGCCAGTGCTGGATAATAGGTAGGTTACAGTTAGTAAAGTGATATCTGCTAACCAAAGAGGGGACCATCCAGCAGACACATAACAGCATTAGCATTCATTAGCAGTCAGACCTCTAGCCACCCAACTAATTCAATTCTAATATGTGCTTTGCATTTAGCGCGAGCCTCACTTAACTTCTAGAGAGTGAGTGTAGAACATAGACTTTATGGACGCCGTCTGCCTCCTTGCTGGGTGAAGCCAGCACCCTCTGGTGACGGGCTGCAGTATAGGTCATAAATCCCACCTCCCCCAGCAATCCCTATGAACCTGTGGACGAATACAAATTTTTCTCCCCCTGCTTGCGATGTTGACATGTAGTTATTGTAAGACTGGTTTGTGCTCAAGTCTTCTATTTTCTGTGCAGCTCAATTTTTAGAAGTTATTAGGGGGTTCATGTTTTCTATGATTGACACTTGATATAGCCTTTAGGCCAACGAAGATGACATAATTCATAATGATACACTGTCTGAGCCGAGCGTCATCACAGCGACTCTCGGCGACTACTCCTGCTGAATGCGTACAATGCTGCTGGGCAAGTGGTGGTTCCAGTAAGTGGAAAAAATCCCAGAAATACTGAGAGCAATTCAGCTTAAAATTCTTATAATGATGGAAGGGGGAGCTAAGTTGTCCATAGTACAGGTGTAGAGCTAATAACATTTTCAGCTTTGTTCAGTGCTTTCTAAACAAACGTGGATTCTGTATGCAATCCGACACAAACACAAAACACTGTTAAAGAAGAAGATGAAGACATGTAAGGGTTAATGTATGGTTGGTGCATAGTTATGACAAATGGATTTCCAATCAATTGATGGGAGTCTATTTGGCATAACTGCAGGGTAACTATAGATGAACTGGTCGAAGAATGATTTTATTGATTTAAAAATGATCTATAAAGAAAAAAGAGCCCTCATGGCATGCAACCACATTTCTTAAAGCCAACCTTGAACACTGAACTCAACATTTCATTCAAATTAGGGTCCAGACTTTAATTCTGTTTTACTGTTATAAACCACATTGAACGTTTTCATTTTATTTTCAATCCCAGTGAAGTCTAAACATTTTTGGCTGTGGCAGAAAATAACAGCAGAACTTGTATGAGGTCCTCTTCTCACTCAAACAGCCTCATAACACAGCTAAAACAGCCCATTCTGTGTGTTCGGTTTGGCGTTGTTTTGTCTCTGCTGTCCTTAAATTGGACAACATCTCTTTTATGTTGCCTCCTGCAAATGACTCGCCTCTAAAAGCTGATGGTATGAGCCAGCTCCTGTTCCAGAGCTGATTCCCTCTTTTCTCTTTTTGTTGTCGTACAACTCGTGACAGCATAAAGGGAGGATCTGCTCCCCACACTTCCAGGCCACAGGCCCATCATGCACTGCCTGACTGCTGCATCGATGTGTGTTAGTGTTTTTTCTGGGTATGTCACAATTCAATGTAATTACAACTCATAACTTAAGTTAAACCCATGCACACATATATATCCACAAAGTACAAGACTATTTTGGTACGTTTGCTACGACAAGCTGATATGATAAAAGCTAAAATGATACTATAAGAACCGTTTGAGGGCCGGTCTTTTTAAAAGCTGACTCATGTACAAACTCAAAAGCTGCACATTGCTACAACAGAGTTTCATGATCATTGTGAATATCATTACATGGAATATAGCTTCCGCATAATTTACATGCAATTCTATATTTTTCTTCTGTGGCACTGATCTATTTCATTGAATTTTATCTAAGTATGAACCATGAAGGTAATGTTGTTCAGAGTAGAATCTTAAAATAGGAAGGGAAGAGCTTTCCTAAAAACAAATCATGCATTAATTTGGAGGTGAATCTTCATAATCTGATAAAACCGGACATCGACCATTGTTGCGGAGTTGAATTTTATTATTTTTTTTACTTTATGTTCCTCACTTTTAGTCTCTTGTTGGAAAGTCTACACTCTTCAAGGCCTAATATTTCATTCAAGGCAAAGCTTGTTGCATTCTGAACATGAACCCTGTGGTTACTGAATGAAGGAGTTTATTTTTAGTCTTTCTCCCTGAGAATAAATGGTGCCATAGCGTGCCAACAGAGCTCAGGTAAAGGGTAAAGGTATAAACATACAGCCTCTTGGTTTTTTAAAACACAGCAGTATAAGCTAACACGAAAACTGTGACAATGATTTGACATTTTAAAGATTGTTCAAGCATGTTTTTATTTTCTGTTTGTAAGAACACTTCCACCACTTTTTCCAGCTTTTCTTGTATCTGACATTCTGTCAGACATTTCTTAGATCTGTTTTATGAAAGATAAAACTCTCTCCATGTTTATTTTTCTCTCTCGACTAGGTGTAACTTTTTTGCTGACAATTTAGTTTAACAGTAAAAAGGCTTACAGTCCACGAGCCCGATGTAGAGCTCGGGAACTTTACCAGCGTATCAGCAAAACAGGAACTTTACAATTCCTGCATGAGATAATATCAGGTGAGAAC